AATGTTTATAAAACGAAATAATGTGATAATTTTTCCGTAATATCGTCAAACCATCTAGGTATACTAAAATTAATCATTTTAAAAATGGTTGAATTTCATAAAAGAATGTTTTGCAAAATATTCGAAAATAGGTCATGAATTTCGGAAACATTGAATACATTAAAAACTAAGGAACCCTATTCCTTAAATAAATTAAACTTACCCAAAATCTTCATGATTATCTAGGTATCCTTACAAAGTATCACAACAATAATTGTTTTGATTAATTGTTGAACAATTAATGTTCAAAGTGTCCACCATAAATTTCAATACAAGCTTCTGCTCTTCTGCGAAAAGAACCAAAAACTAACAAACACAAAAACTCAAACTTGATAAAAGTTCACACTTAACAAATTTACAAATTTTTATGTATTTTTCAAATCGGCAAAGGCAAATCAACGCACGAACTGGTTGCGTCTATATCTTTGTGTAGTAACTAAAGAAATCGCTTTATTACCCTTGTAAAAGATAATTTATGCGATGTGACGTGCAAATTTCTCCCTCCGCCTGCCGGCCTTCAAAAAATCTAGCCGAATGTTTTCTAGTGCGTATTGTTTTGTAGGGTTGTTAACCTCGTGGTCAAATAGATAATTCTTTTTAGTGATTTGTTTGATAGTGTTTAACTTCTTATTATTCTTCAAGTTTAGTTTGTTCTTAGTTTAGTGTTCTGATTCTTGGAGCAATGCAATGGCAGACGCGTTTGATCAACATGAATTAATTAATTGATGTGCTTCTAATAAGTAGTAAGTAATAAATAAATTCTTTGAGACATGATTTTTCATTTATCAATTATTATTTTGTCGATATTACAACTTTACGGATCGTATTGCGCGAGTCGATTTGTTTAAAATTACTCAATTGATTATTGCATCTGAATTAAATGAAAAATACTTCAATTTTTAAATATTAACCGATTACTAGTATGATTATTAGTATCTAAAGTAATTCTAATCCTTTAAATCAAATGAAATACATTCTTTAAAAGTGTCTTATTTTTCAAATTAACAAATAAAACATGGCAACGTTGAAAGAAATCCGCCGATCCACAGCTGATCGCTTTAAATTTGTAACTGATCCTCTCAACATTTCAGAGGCGTGTATCTTATTTAGCAACAATTTTCAAAAATTAATTACTCGGTAATTATACGCTATTTTGAAAAAATAATTTATACAATAGTTTTTATTAAGCATATAGTTTAACCAGTTTTAATATGTGCATGCAATTTACAAACACCCTGTATATGGCCGAGGAAATGTAAAAAATTATCCGCCATTCATCGATATTATCCTACAAAAAAATTAATAAGAAAATTATTAATCTCAAAACTTTGTTTTTAAAAAAAATATTTTGAAAATACACACTTTCAGAAATAACCGACAATTAATTCGGATAAAATATACGTCTTAACTCTAGCACGTACGTACATCGGAAATCTGCCTAAGCCTATCAAAGAAACAATATATTATAATAAAAAGATAAATTAGCAAAAAGTGTAAGATAAAGTATTACGTTATAAGGTGCTACGCATGTAACTCCTCCACCGTTAGACGGAACACCCTCCTCGATGGTCACTAAACTAAAATGCAATGAACAAAAACAAAAACAAAATAAAATCAAAAAAAATGTACAAAAAAATGCCAAAATCCCAAAATTAGCAAAAAGAAAACTTAAATTCTAAATTATATCATTATTTTGCTGTTCCAGTTGATAACGCCTCTAAGTTACATGACAATTGTAATACAATCTTGAGATAAAATAAAGTACTTTGATTACTCTCATTTTCTAAGACTTGCAAAATTCTATCTATATTATTATCGGGATCGTATTCTTGCAAAAATTGTTCAATATCAAAATCGATGTCTCCGGGATTATTAATATTGGAGGATGTCTCCAAAACATTCAACTCTATCCTTGATAGGGGATCAGCTATATTATTTTTGTGGTTTGTGTATAATGGTATAGTCAAACTCTTTACATTTACAATCCACATAAGTGGTCGATGGTCAATTTGAATACAAAATTTTTTCCCCAGCGATATGGTCGGTACATTTTACATGCCCAAACAATCGCTAACAATTCTTCTTCGATAGTCGAGTATATCTGTTCAGTTTCACTCAAAGTACGCGATGCATACGCGATGGGGTGATAGTTTGCCGATAGGATAGGATAGGATAGTCAGGCCGATATTAGATGCATCTGTTGTTAGAACGAAGGGTTTTGAGAAATCTGGGTATTTCAAAATAGGAGCACTAATCAAAACTTCTTTCAAATGATTAAAAGACTTGATAAATTCTGGAGTGTGAACAACTGTAGTGTCCTTTTTTTAGACAACTAGTTAAAGGCTTGGCTATTTGAGCACAATTGTTGATAAACCTTCTGTAATATCCTGCCAGACCCAAGAACGATTTAATGTCTTTTTGAGTCAGGGGTAAAGGTATCTTATTCATATCTAAGGTCCTTTACTTTCCTCTATCGATGTTGTTATACCGATCGTCCCAGTTCGAACGGTTTAAGCATTAGAAAGAGAGAATCACAGTGTCACCCAAAGTACACACCAAACACATTCAATTACAACTAATAATTGTAATTAATATTTTAGTGAGTTTAATACGGAATAAAACTTACCGATAGAGTAGAATATACTGTCCCAACCCAACGAAGAAGCCAATAACGAACACACCGGCATCGCCGGGAAAATTTTGTATTCAAACTGACCATCGACCACTTATGTGGCTTGTAAATGTAAAGAGTTTGACTATACCATTATACACAAACCAGGTAAAAATAATATAGCTGATCCCCTATCAAGGATAGAGTTGAATGTTTTGGAGACATCCTCCAATATTAATAATCCCCGATATATCGCTTTTGATATTGAACAATTTTTGCAAGAATACGATCCCGATAATAATATACTATAGATAGAGTTTTGCAAGTTTTAGAAAATGAGAGTAATCAGATCAGGGAAACAGTCCCAACGAAACTCCTGAAATACGAAGCAGTCACCAAGCGACTCCTCTCCAATGGTGGAGCCCAAGCGGCCCAAACGGCTTGAATGGCAGGCACGGTGACGCCCTAAAAAACCCGTGAAATAACCGCCCAAACGAAGATGTTTTTCCCGCCGAATTTCGCTGCTAAATAGCCCCCAGCGAATTGGGTGGTCAGGTAGCCGTAGAAAAAGGAGCTTGGTATGTACCCCTGGAGCGTGGAGTCCCAGTCGAATTCGCTTTTCTGCGTACAAAAATTCTAAATATCTCCAGTATATTCGAAATGTGTAGATAAAATAAAATGAATACCGGTAGGAGAGGAGATGACTAAAAAAAGGTTGGAGGCGCCGGGCATCGATCCCGGTACCTCTCGCATGCTAAGCGAGCGCTCTACCATCTGAGCTACGCCCCCCGATGACAAGTGAACTAATATCTTGGATCAGCTTGTTCAAATGAACTACTTATTTCGAATCGATCAGTTAAAGTAGCTCGCCTTGAATGATGCTCGATAAAGCGATTAATATTTTACTTTTACCTTTGGTACATCGCCAGCGAATATGCAAATGGTTATATAATTTGGACGGTCAAAATCGAAATGACTTACTTGAATGATCGTGCCGTTTTCCAAAGTCACGTTTTTGAGTTGGGTCATGTCGACAATGGCTATGCTTAAGTTAGCTCTTAGGGCGTAGACGTTGAAGAAACCGAAGAAAGCTAACAAAGCCACCACGTAGCGTTTGGTTTTCCAAAATTTCCACCATGCTTCCTCATTCGACCTAAATCGAAGAATCGAAACGTTCTTTCAGCGATTAATTAGTATCGAATTTACTCACCCTTTTTCGACTGAATACACGGACGACGTGGCCCTTCGGAAAAACACCATCGCGAAAAACTCTTCGACTCAAATAAACGGAATCGTTGTAACGAAAAGATGTATTAGTAGGATATAATGACACATATTGCGGCTATTACGAATCTGCGAATGCGTGTATACCATTTTTTTATTGTTAATAAATAATGGTAGATCGTATTTATTTAAATATGATAAATTTCGAATGCAATTATTATTAAGTACATTACATTATTATCAAGTACCTAAGAGGTATAGTAATTGTGTATAGTATAGTGAGTATAGTCTTAGTTCGGTTTCTTCGATTTGTCCTGAAATAATAGGTGCAAAATCTCTATCTCTCGTCGCTCTCGAAAGCGTTATTCTTACAACTCTCTTCACTGGTTAGTTTTTTCGTTTTCACCCATTGCTCGGAGTCCCACGATTGCAACTCTCCGGAGCCGCAACACAGGATTATTACAGAACGCAGCAAATAAATTCCGGCAGTAATGTAAAACATAATCATCCCCACTTCCACGTTTCTCTAAAACAAAAAAACATAATACAGTACGTTTAGTATAAAATTTCAATAAAGTAGGATATTGCAGTTTAATTTTCTCATACACACCTCATCTGTTACAAGATACCCGGTAAGAGTAGGACTGATTATTCCGGGTAAGGTCGCAAAGGTGTTTGCCATAGCTGTAATGACGGGAGCGTAATTGGGTACCAAATCTATCCTGCACGTTCACGCTGAAATATCATCCAACATTCACCATATTTATCGACATAAATACAATATCACCGACCAGAATGCGGACATATCTATTCCTCCGAAACCTACTGCTACTATCAGGCAGAATACCGTTCCGAATTTCGACATCCAGTGCACGGAGAGCACCAGGAAAAGGCACTGCCCCATGAAACCGACAGCGACGAATGACTTCCTCAATAGCGTCAGCGTTAGGTACTGCTTGGAGTTGAAGTAATTCGCCAATTGCCCAGATAATTGCGACCGAGATGTACAGAAGAGCTGACATTATTCTTACAGAATCCAGCTCCAGATAAAGCCAATCTGGAATTGTAATTCACAGTACGATCGTTTGTAACTTCGTTCTTTAAAATAATTTAATTACCAAAAACATTTAAAGCAGGTAAAGTATTTAATTATATTTAATAAGTTATAATAATAAAATCGTTTTATTTAATTCAACTATAGGTATACAGAGTGTCCATGTTCGAGCGCTGCAAACAGTAGAAAGAGAGAATCAGTCGAACTGTGGAGAGGCGCAGCTTCGGCGCGATTAATCGGCAGACGAATGTAGCGCTCGACCTTAGACACAGTGTATGTACAAGTAATAAAAAATATAATTTAAATTGTGAATTAGATTTTTTTATCACCATTCGCAGTATTTTCATCCCCCTCCGCCCAGGGCTGCTTCACACCGCTCATAAAGAAGAAACTCACCATAACCCCGAAGAAGTACAACCCCGATGCGATGTAGAAAACAATCCTCCACTGCATTATGTTCGTCTATAATTCAAATAAATTAATATACCACAAAATGATTTCCTATTGCCTAAACTTACAGAATCAGTAACAATATAACCAGTAATGATAGGCGACACAATACCCGGTACAGTTCCAACAGTATTAGCTATCCCGAACATAACGCTAGCGAATTTAGGAGCTATATCCAAGAAATTTATCCTAAAACAACGAAAAATTTCATAGAAATGACGCTTTATATTATATTTATAATTATTTACATTACAGCACCAACAGCGGTTCCTCCTAACCCAACGCCTACGATAAGACACAGAGGTATTCCCACGGGAGTTACCCAATATCCTGCGATTAATATGAAACTCCCCTGGCAGATGAAACCCAAAATAACGAAGAGCTTTCTCACGTTGGTTGTGTTCATGTAGCCCTTGGCCAAGATAAAATCGGACAAGTATCCGCTGAGTTGCATGCTTAATGATGTGAGAAGGTATGGTACAGCTGATAGGAAACCAGCTTCGTTCAAATCGAAACCAAGTAAAGCTGAAAGAAGTACAGAATTTTAGAAATAGGTCTGGATAAATGTTAAGTTTTATTACTTACATTTCATTACTTGTGGTAAGAATGTAAGCATGGTGTAGAAGCCCCACGTTTCACAACTCATGCATATGGTGGTGGCCAAAAAGCATTTAGACGTCAGTATTTTAACCCAAGGTATTTTTACATTAACATCGCTTTTAACTAACTTTATAGATTCGGTGATAAACGTCAATTCCTTTTCGCTAATATTGGAATCTTTAGTCGGAGTATCCCTTACTACAATCGCCCAAACTAGATACCAGACGAGGCCGAGTGTTCCTAGGAATAGAAGTGTATTTACGTGAGATTTAATTAGGTACAAGTTTATTACCGAAAACGTAGAAAATCGCCTCCCAGTTCAAGTTAGTAGCGAGCAATGAGCACACTGGCATGGCGACCACAGCCCCAAAATATGCCCCGGATCCGGCGAAGCTGACCAAGCGACTTTTCTCCGCAGGAGGCGCCCAATGAGACCAAAGTTCCTGCGTTGATGGATACGTCACTCCCTGCAACACAGTTTTATAGCAATTACAGAGCAGTGTAGATTTTAGCGACTTGCTTCGAATGCTCCTTCTAGGATCCTAAAGACGATGAATAAATAAACGTTGGTTTTGGCTATCAACGGTGAAATCAACGTGAATATTGATGTAGCTGCGATGCCGAAACCGAAGAGTCTAGCTCCTCCACATTTTGTCGCTAGCCATCCTCCTAGGAATTGAGTTAGGATGTATCCGTAGAAAAACGAACTCAGAACGTAACCTTGAATCGTGGAGTCCCAGTTGAATTCCTTTTCCTGAAAATAAAAATGCTACATTGTGGAATACAGCAGATACTATATTATTGAAGAAGAAACAATTTGGAATAGAATAATAAATTATGGTTAAATAAATATTATTGGTTATTTAATTACGGAAATTATGGTTCCATTTGGTAAAACAGTGTTTTTAACAGAAGTCATATCGACGATAGCGATGCTGAGATTGGTTCTTAAGGCGTAAATGTTCATGAAACCGATGAAGGAAAGTATTGCTACAATATATCTTTTGTGCTTCCATATCTTCCATATGGGTTCATCGTATCTGCAAGTGGACATACATATTACAGAACTTGTTAATTAATTGATAATTTTCATACAAATACAGTAAAAGTCTTGGAAATCAAAATCGGTCATAATTATTAAAACTACTTACTGATATGGTGGTTTCTTCATTGCATTCTCCATTATTTTGGTAATTAAAGTAGTTTACTTAATAGGTCTATTCATATACTCTCTTGTCTTATATTGGACAATTTTCCAATAGGCGCCCAAAACTAAATGGCACCAAACCTAAAAGTTGTTGTAAAAAGTTGAATTTCCGGCTATATTTTTTTTCTCTACATTAACAGTGTTAGCTATTCACATTTCACAAATAGGAAATTTTGGAATTTAATTTATCTTATCAAGTAAATTTAAATGGGCAAATTATTCTCAATAGGTAAAAATGAGTTTAATAAATGTATTAAAATATTAACACAGCACACACACACGAATGCTTGTCCTAAACCTTGTACTTGAAAGCCTAGTCCAAACCTTTATATAAGCACCCAGTTCCATCCAAAGTCGTAGTAAAAAATACACAATTTTCACTAATATTAAAATTGTCTGGTACAAAGAGATTGCAAAAAGATTTTTTACTTACTGTCTGCTTAACTAAATAAGTTAGTGAGTTATCAGGACAAAGTTTGCAATCAAATTAAAAATAATAAAGTTATTAGGAACATTTCCCAAATAACATGTTGTAGGTACTCATTGTAGGTAAATCATTTAGTTTTACGACTTTAGTATAATTGTTTACAATTCTTTTTATAACAGATTGTATAAGTATTTTATCTAAACGGGTTATAACACGTATTAAATGACTGAATATTCTTTAATGTTTATATAACTATTATATAATTACCGTCTAGTAAAATACTACTTATAATTTAAAAAAATAATAATACCTACGAAATTTGTACCTAATTTAACAATGTTTTACACAATTACAGAATTTCGAGTCGCGTTCAATTATAACACTACATTCAATTTAATTCTCCATCTTTTATTTTTGGTTTTTCTTCTACTGGTTGTTTAACATTTGCATTTTCATTTACAGCCCACGGCTGTAACTCACCAGAGGCATTAAATGCGTAAAATATTGCCCCGAACAAATATATGGCCGAGGAAATGTAAAAAATTATCCGCCATTCATCGATATTATCCTACAAAAGAATTAATAATAAAACAATTTAACACTAAGTAAATAAGTTTTTCCACTAACCGTGTGAGTTACTAAGTAACCAGTAAGAATAGGGCTGACAATACCGGGCACAGTTCCGAATGTATTGCTTATACCAACTAAAATACTGGCGTATTTTGGTGCAATATCTAATCCATTAACTCTGCAAAATTCGCGCGATTTGATTAGTAATTAGGCGCACTTAAAACTAGTTAATTCACCCAAATCCAGCCAATGCGAAACCGCCCAATCCAACTGCCATCACCAGACAAAAAGTTGTACCGACAGGTGTCAACCAGTACCCGGCGCACAAAATAAAAACCGTTTGCGACAAAAAACCCACGCAAGTGAATAGCTTTCTCACATGGGTGATCGAGAGAACTTTCTTGACCAATAGAAAATCTGCTAATTGACCAGCTAATTGCATTATTATAGCCATTGCTAAGTAAGGTAAGGCCGACATGAACCCTGCCGACTTCAAATCAAAGTGCAAGACTTCTAAAACAGTACTGAGTTTTTAATAATTTATGTATAAAAATTTGATAAAATCGATACTCACCTTTCATAATTTTCGGTAAATACGTTAGGAGTGTATAAAATCCCCAAGTTTCGCTAACGAAAGCTACTGCAATGGCCCATAATGGTCTTGATTTAAGAAAAGACAACCACGGTATCTTATTCATATCTAACGTATCTCCTTTACTTTCCTCTATCGATGTTGTTATGTATTGCCTTTCTTTAAGACTGATAGATGAATCTGTTAAAGGAGAATCGGACACCAGTGTCACCCAAAGTACACACCAAACAAGTCCAATTACACCTAATAATTGTAATTAATATTTTAGTGGAGTTTAATACGTAATAAAACTTACCGAAAGAGTAGAATATACTCTCCCAACCCAAAGAAGAAGCCAATAACGAACACACCGGCATCGCCACAACAGTCCCAACGAAACTCCCGGAATACGAAGCAGTCACCAAGCGACTCCTCTCCAATGGTGGAGCCCAAGCGGCCCAAACGGCTTGTATGGCAGGTACAGTGACGCCCTAAAAAACCCGTGAAATAACCGCCCAAACATTCATCGTTCTAACGCACCTCGAACACTCCCTCAACAACCCTCACACCGACCAGGAGGTAGACGTTGGCTTTGACCAGCAGCGGCGTGAAGATGGTCATCAAGGCGGTCACTGCTATACCCAAAGCGAAGATGTTCTTCCCGCCGAATTTCGCTGCTAAATAGCCCCCAGCGAATTGGGTGGTCAGGTAGCCGTAGAAAAAGGAGCTTAGTATGTATCCCTGGAGCGTGGAGTCCCAGTCGAATTCGCTTTTCTGCGTACCAAAATTTAAATATGTCCAGTATTTTCGAAATGTGTTAATAAAATAATATTAATAGCGGTAGGAGAGGAGATGACTAAAAAAAGATTGGAGGCGCCGGGCATCGATCCCGGTACCTCTCGCATGCTAAGCGAGCGCTCTACCATCTGAGCTACGCCCCCCGATGATAAGTGAACTAATATCTTGGGTCAGCTTGTTCAAATGATCTACTTATTTCGAATCGATCAGTTTGTAGTAGTTCGAAGTAGTTCGCCTTGAATGATCTTCGATAAAGCGATTAATATTTTACTTTTACATTTGGTACATCGCGTGCGAATATGCAAATGGTTATACAGTGAGCATCATAAGTGTTAACCCCCCCCCCCCCCTATCTAACTCGTTACTGGACTCTTGTTAAGAAAATCGCCGAGACACGTCGACTTTTGATTTTTACAAGGTATTTTTTGGTTTGAATAGTTTATTTCCAATTTCAACCCTTACTGGAGGGGAGCAACCCTTTCGAAAAATTTGAGGTAACACGTAATGAAGCAAATTTCAATTTTTTGCATAGTTGAATGGAGAGTAAAAACCCCTTTTAAATGAGCTATCACTCACCCCCATGCGTTTTAAATTTTTCGAAAAGGTTGCTCTCCTCCAGTAAGGGTTGAAATTGGGAATAAACTATTCATACCAAAAAATACCTTGTAAAAATCAAAAATCGACATGTCTCAGCGATTTTCTTAACAAGAGTCCAGTAACGAGTTAGATAGGGGGGAGATATTTTACTTTTACCTTTGGTACATCGCCAGCGAATATGCAAATGGTTATAATTTAGACGGTCGAAATCGAAATGACTTACTTGAATGATCGTGCCGTTTTCCAAAGTAACGTTTTTGAGTTGGGTCATGTCGACAATGGCTATGCTTAGGTTAGCTCTAAGAGCGTAGACGTTGAAGAATCCGAAAAATGCTAACAAAGCCACCACGTATCGTTTGGTTTTCCAAAATTTCCACGATGCTTCCTCGTTCGACCTAAATGAAGAATCGAAACGGTCCTTCGGCAATTAATTAGTATCGAATTTACTCACCCTTTTTCGACTGAATACACGGACGTGGCCCTTCGGAAAAACACCATCGCGAAAAACTCTTCGACTCAAATAAACGGAATCGTTGTAACGAAAAGATGTATTAGTAGGATATAATGACACATATTGCGGCTATTACGAATCTGCGAATGCGTGCATACCATTTTTTTATTGTTAATAAATAATGACCGTGTATACACATAGCATTGACAATACAATCAGTACATTAAAATTACCGAGTTTCCGTGTACCGAATAATTGGAATATCAGCGCGTACCCACCACTCAAAGTCGAATTAGTCGTTTATTTTTTTAATTACCTCTTTGTTAGCCGGATCAATTGGTAGCTCGTATTTATTTAAATATGATAATTTCCGATTGCAATTATTTATTAAGAGGTTTAGTAATTGTGGAAAACATAAGTAACTAATAAAAATTTAATACAAAATAACTCGCTTCAACATAAAATCACATTAAAAGTAACAATCGCACAATCATCGTCTTTCTTTAGTTTCTTCGATTTGTCTTGAAATAATACGTGTAAAATCACTATTTCTCGTCGCTCTCGAAAGCGTTATTCTTACAACCCTCTTCACTGGTTAGTTTTTTCGTTTTCACCCATTGCTCGGAGTCCCACGATTGCAACTCTCCGGAGCCGCAACACAGAAATATTACAGAACCCAACAAATAAATTCCAGCAGTAATATAAAACACAATCCTCCACTGTTCCACGTTTCTCTACAACAAAAACACATAATATAGTACGCTTAGTGTAAAATTTCAATGAAGTAGGATGTTGCAGTGTAATTTTCTTATACACACCTCATCTGTTACAAGATACCCGGTTAGAATAGGACTGATTATTCCCGGAAAGGTCGCAAAGGTGTTCGCCATAGCTGTAATGACGGGGGCGTAATTGGGCGCCAAATCTATCACGTTCACGCTGAAATATCACCAAATAGTCACCATATTTATCGACATAAATATAATATCACCCACCAGAATGCCGACATTGCTATTCCTCCGAAACCTACTGCTACTATCAGACAGAATACCGTTCCGAATTTCGACATCCAGTGCACGGAGAGCACCAGGAAAAGGCACTGCCCCATGAAACCGACAGCGACGAATGACTTCCTCAATAGCGTCAGCGTTAGGTACTGCTTGGAGTTGAAGTAATCCGCCAATTGCCCGGATAATTGCAGAAGTATCGCGACCGCGATGTACGGAAGAGCTGACATTATTCCCACAGAATCCAGCTCGTATTGAAGGCAATCTGTAATTGTAATTCTTGGTATGAGATCGATGAGATCGATGAGACATTACGAAAGAGTCACTTGCATTTCATGAACTTCGGTAGTTGCGTTAATAGCGTGTAATATCCCCAAATTTCGCAGGTAACACCTGCAGATGCAGCCCAGACCGGCTTGGAAGACAAAATCGAACGCCATGGCACCCTTAACGAAGGTTTATTTATTTTGGTCACTTTCAGCGATTCTGTTATGTACGTCAGTTCTTTTTCGCTTATGTGTGGGTCCTCCGAGGGATTATTCCTGGCTATTTTTAGCCAAAATACTGTCCAAATACAACCAGCTGCTCCTGTAAGATTAAACCTACTTGTGCACAAGGTTTGTTTTGAACACTTCTTAGTTACCGGAAATGTAAAATACACTCTCCCAATCCAAAGTTGTTGCAAGAAATGATGATAAAGGTAGCGATATAACAGTACCTATATACGATCCGGACAAGCAAATAGTCACCAATTTACCCTTCTCCAACGGTGGATACCACCTAGTAAACAGATTTTGGATGCTTGGAGTAGTCATACCCTGTAAATTTCATTAATTAATCCATTAACCTCTACATTAACAGCATTGATATTGAAAGTATAAGAATATTATAGAAGGATATAGGTAAAAAATTCATTCGTACTTCGAATATCCCCACGGCAACCCTTCCAGCTAGGAACAGGTAAACGTGAATCTTCGCCATGAACGGGGATAGTACAGTTATGAGTGAAGCTACGCCGATTGCCACCCCAAAGACTGGCTTTCCTCCGAACTTAACAGCTAAATAACCGCCGATCATTTGCGTGAAAACGTAACCGTAGAAGAACGAGCTGAGTAGGTAACCTTGAATCTTGGTGTCCCAATCGAAGTATCTCTCCTGCAAGAAGGCATAACTGAAGAAATAACGTAGCAGGAAACCTGAAGTTTTTAGCGAGATTATCTGAATAACCTCTAAGAAACCGGATTGTTCATATACTCATAACAGCTACGTTGGTCTGAATCGCTTTATTCAAAAACATGATTCAATCACTTGGAGTGGATTGTGGATGAAGTTACTTTAGAGCCTCCAAGACAAACCTTTGGGCTAATTTTGGTTGAAATTTTACGCTTCTAGCCACATATTGCAAAAAATTAGTTACAAAATATAAAAAGCATCTTACCAAATAAACAGTGCCGTTGGATAATGTGAAATTCCTGGGTTGAGTCATGGCAACTATAGTCACGCTAAGGTTGACTCGTAGGGAATAAGCGTTGACGCATCCAAGGAATATCCACAGAGTCAGGACGTAACGCCTGGCTCTCCAGAATGCCCATACTGGTACCTTGTGTGGTTCACTGAAAGACATCCATAATTATCTATCTATCTATACTATCATTAATTTTTCAAACTGTTGGGCTTGTTTGTAGGTACTAAGTAATCAGAGCTACTATAAAAAATATATTCCCAAAAAGTATTATCAAGTATAAAAAGTTATTGATTACCTGATGGCTTGATCGATTTGGTTCGTTTCCGGCTCGTTTGTGGTTCCCATTTGGAAAGGTTTTCAGTATACAGTGCAGAGTGAAATGTAGTTCGCATAGGTAGCAGGCAATATTTCGTCGTTGAACACGAAATAAATCCCTGCGAAAGCGATTAGAATTATTGTTGCATCCAGACTGGCCTTAAAATACACATCGGTCTAAAATTTGTTTGCATTAAAACGAACAAATAGAGAAGTTCAACAACATTAATCTGTTACTTATGAGGATAAACAGAGGCGTAACCGTTGATTAAGTTTATGCGGATTTATGGAATTGTTTATTAATTTTTTATTCAAAGTTAACTAATTAATTAAAACCATTTAAATATCAATTGAAAGGTAGTGTAATAACAATTAAAGTAGCCTAGGAAATTAATTTTCTTTTCTACTCACGTTTGCTTGTTGAACACATGCGCGATTTAAAATATTTGCAAATTTCAAGTATTTTAAATAATTCGACAGCCATGAAGGTATTGATAATGAATATTTTAAAATTTAAATATTGTTTTTTTGATAAAGAATTTACAATAATTACATTATTTTACATTAGTAATTACAATAATTTTAAAGCTGAAGATAGTTAATTAATAAAATAACAATAATTGAGTACATTAATTAAAAAAATAATGTCTACTACTTTCGTAAGTTTGATTAATATATAGGAAGTTCAATTTCTCGATCCAGTAAAAACACCGATTATTTTTGTTTTTACAAATGTACCTTAAGATGTTTTTGCAAATTTATCACATACAAAAATTCCACTGACCAATAAAAAAAGTGTTTTAAGAAACCTCGTCATTATTAAAATAACACAATGTTGTAATAAAAAAAAACTCCCACATATTTTTGCAATTAGGAATGCCGTGATTAATGTGCTCGATTTGTTTAAAAGGAATGTACACGTGCTAAATGGCCCATCATTTCTCTCATAATTGCAAAATTACCGGCTGCCTAATACAATAGGCTAATTACTCATGCTAACTAAAACTTTCGTAAATAGCTATAGGTATACTAAAAATTACCTGTAACAAATTTGTTTAGTCGTACTTGTATACGTACCTTTAATAACGGTGTAAAATATTTTGCACTTTAGAAAGTTATTTATAATGATAGATATTTAACTATAAAAGTCGTTTCGACTATTAGGTGAACAATAAATTAGAAAACTAAAACACAAATTGCAAAATTTATACTGTATACATCGAATTTTTAAAAATTTTATACCTCTAACTGATAGTTACAAAACATAAATTTATATAGACACAAATTTAAACTAACACATTATTATATGCTGATAGGAGAAAGCTAAAAAACTCACTACTTACCTACTTCATTAGTTCACTCGTTTGTGGAAGGTAAATTAAAAAATTATGTGTCCGCCAATAACATGTTATTAAGATGATTTTATCAAAAAATTTCAACAACGTTATTCTACTGTTTTGATATTTTAAAGAACCCTCCGAAATTATTAATAACACTTGCAAAAAAAAGAGTGGGAGAAGTATTAAGAGTGGATTAAATTATAATCGCGGCTTTTTGGGTGCATTAAAAAAACTTGAAACATTTTGTTAATCTGTATTATTATTATTCATGTTTTGTACCGTTCATTAAAATATTTCAATCACTATCTAAAAAATACTAATTACATTACTTAACGAGAGTATAAAAAACTTTTTTGTTCATAGTGTAGAGTTTTGTTACTGCGCATTGGTAACTGCGTCTAAATGGTTTCAGATATTCTTATCGATCTGTACCTAATGCATATTGATCCACGGATTTATCATCTAATCACTTGTGAATTATTTCATTGAACATAGTTAACTACTTCATCTGATAGTGTTGCTTTCAAATTTAAACAAGGAATATAAATAATTAGAAAGAATTTAAAAAATAAATAGGAATGCACTTCCTTGTAAAGTACCTAATGGAAAATAGTATGGAAATATGAACTGTTTTTGTCACTATTATTTTATCTACTATCTACAGACGATAAGAGGTACGAGAACCACCGTAAATAAACATAAAAATTCATTAAAAATATATAAATAAAGGTAAAAGTGAAGGAAAAAAAGTGATGTTATGTTACAGGTAAGAATAAAGTACAGCAATAGAAAGTATACTAGTAATTGGTACTAATCATCACGCTCAAAACTTCTATTTTCATAAAACGCATGCGGATTCTGTTTCTGTTCAGCACTATCCACATTTCCATCGTCTTTAGCCCAATCTTGCAGTTCTCCGGAAACGAATGTACCGTAAAAGACAGCTCCGATCAAGTAAATTCCCGATGATATATAAAACACGATCCTCCATTCAACGACGCTCGTCTAAAAAAATCAAGCTTTACATTTTATCATATAAAGTTACTCTGAAGAACTCACCTCGTCAGTCACTAAATACCCTGTGATAATAGGGCTGACAATACCGGGTATGGTGGCGAAAGTGTTGCCGAAACCCATCAAAATAGAGGCATATTGTGGAGCGATATCCAGATGGTTTATACTTCAATAACAGTTATTAATCTTGAATTAGCATTACAATGCTTACCTACCTAAATCCTGCCCAAGCGAACGCGCCCAATCCCACTGCCATCGATATGCACAAAGTCGCCCCAACTGGCGTCAACCAATAGGTAGCAGCCAACATGAAAATAGTTTGAGCGACGAACCCGCTGCAATTGAATATCCTCCTGACTTGGGTGGTGGTCAGGATGCCTTTCACCAGGAACCAATCGGCGAAGTGCCCGGAAAACTGAGTCATGATCGCCATAAGCAGGTAAGGCAAGGCCGAAAGTACCCCGGCAGCGTTTAAATCGAAGTTCAAAACACCTACGAATGGCATAAATGGTATTAATTGCAAGAGGTTTGATCGATGGGTTACGTTTCATGAATTTCGGCAATTGCGTCAGCATTGTGTAGAATCCCCAGTTTTCGCTGAAATGCGATACTGTTATCGCCCACACGGGCATAGATGTCACAATGGATCTCCAGGGGATCTTTGTTGCTTTGTTAGACTTCACTTCGAGACTGTTCAGTATGTAATCGAGCTCTTCTTTGCTAATTTTCGGGTCGTCTTCCGGCGAGTCGGATACTATCCACGCCCATAGAAGACACCACAGTATACCAACAGCGCCTGGAATCAAATAAATGTGTTGTTATCTTTATAGAGCATGTAACAGGAGTTTTACCGAAGAAGTAAAAAATGCTTTCCCATCCTAAAGTCGAAGCCAGAACGGAACAAAGAGGCATTGACACCACTGTTCCAATGTAGCTTCCAGAGAAAGCTATGGTAGCCAGTCGGCTTCTTTCCAGAGGTGGAGCCCACTTTCCCCATATTGCATGAATACACGGATAGGTTACACCCTAAAATAACATAACCATTAGGTACACCTTATCGTCAATAATCAAGTTACGAATACTGTATGCACCAGAATTCCTATCTCTCACAGTCATCATATGCTCAATATGAACGCTTACATACCACAATAACAAAGTGCAAAATTCAGAAATCACATCCGGACGTTAATTTAATATCTCTGGTAATCAACCTTGTTACAAACCTCGAAGATACCTTCAATAATCCTGACGGCGAGCAGGAAATAGACGTGCAGGCTGGCTATCCAGGGCGTTACCAGCGTGAGCAAGGCGGTGACCGCTATGCCGGCCCCGAAGACCCTCTTCCCGCCGATTCTGGCCGCCAAGTAGCCTCCGAAAAGCTGAGTGGTGATGTAGCCGTAGAAGAACGAGCTCAGAACGTAGCCTTGCAGCTTGGTGTCCCAGTCGAAGTCTCTCACCTACATCAAACCGGTCTTGTAGACATTTACTCGTTAGATATTCAGGAAATTTGCGTAACAATTAGCGAGATTAAGTTGTATCATTTTGTTAAGTACGTTAGAAGTACCTTAATTCCTGGTAATCTTTTATTATTATTCTGATTGGAGTAATACACTTATGAGATAAAGTGTTTGAGTGCAGTTCATCGAGTGGATCTTAACTTACTGAGATAATTGTACCGTTGTCTAGTGTTACGTTTCGAAATTCTGTCATGGCCACAATAGCTATGCTTAAATTCACCCGGAGGGCGTAAGAGGTGAAGAAGCCAAAGAATGCCAGTACAGCTACAACGTATCTTCTCATACGCCAGAAGGTCCATGGTGATACTGTCGGCCTGCAGAATTGAGAAAATAAATTACTACATAATTATCAAGGGTTAATTCCTTGGCTTATTTCATGACTAACAGTTCATATGAAGATGGGTCCACAAACACATCGTCACCAACCTACAGGGTGTTGAAATTTCATGATTTTTGGTTTTTTTAGAGCTTCTACAGTTTTTGAGATATTTAGCTTAAATTTGGTATCCTTTACAGAGTATAATTTGAATAGGAGGGGGTCACTTTCAACATTTCTTATAATGCAGTTTAATTATTATTATTTAGGGTTTTTGTATTGTAAAATAAATCATTTGTTCAGAAAATAGTTTTTTAATTTTTTTCTCTATAACGGTCACAGATACGAAGAAAGTTTACAATCAAAAAACGTTTCTAAACAAAACAGTCAATTCATTTTGTATTCTAGAATCCACCAGCGAAGTATAGGGAACATGACCCCTGAAAAAATATCACCCCGTAGATTTCAACAACCACCTGACATACCCAATAATGTACATATCTAGATTCCAAATGTGAGCTAAATATCTCAAAAAATTCAGGAGCTACAAAGAAAAAACAAGAAAAATTTTGAAAATTCAACAACCTGTAGATCGGTAACGAACCGTATGAGGACCTATATTTAAATATATGAACTTTTAGTCATGAAATGCGCCAAAGAATTACACCCTTTCGGATGTGCACGAAGTTTAGGAACACCCTGTATATAGATTGGTTGTATTTGTACCTAATATGTTTTGCGGTACTAATAAGATTCGTGTTAGTTTTTAAGTACATAACAAATTACACTTACAAGGCAATTGTAAAATGTCATTAAATTGTTGAAAATTGATTTAGTTGTTGAAAATAGTAGAAATTGCATGGCATTAGACCTAATTTTATTGTCCTATTACAATTATAATTATGCACGATTCTAGTCTAATGTATGATTTATTGGTCAGCGAAGCATTTTTTCCTTGCACATTTGTAAGCAAACGTTAAAAACATATTTTTCGTTTTTGATAAAAACACTAATAAAAATTGAATTGTTTGAATACTCATTAGAATGGTTATTCCAGTATCACAATTTGTAGGTCATAAAATAATTACACTAATCCACTGCACAAACAAACGTTAGGGGAATTGACGTTTTTTTGCGATAATTTATACCAAAAATACCTTTTACTACATTTAGGTAGGTGGCAGAAATGATAACAGAAAAGAAAGGACATGGTTATAGAAAAAAAAACTTACTTCATATGCTCCCCTTTCTCTTCGATTTCTATGGAGCCCATTTCAGACGCCTTCATGTCTCCTAATCGAGATTTTGATTTAGAAATGTGCAATAAATGTCCGGCAATTTCGCAGTGGATACCAGCTCACCCAACCATGCTCTAATTACCCGATCGCAATTCCGTGGAGATAAGCATATTGCTTTCGGTTGTGTTTCTAGTTCGCGGGCGATTACCGTCGACGAGGTGATCTCTCGAAGAGCGTGCCGCAGGTGGGAGTGGTGAGGGAATTTCTTCCGCCCGGCGAGGTCGCGTCGCCGCTCCACCAGGAGGTCGTTCTTTGGGGGACTTTTACCGGCGACATTCTCTTTATAAGGCGCGCAAATTGTGCGGAAAAAAATTTAAAAGCGGTCTTATCTTATCGTGCATTTTAATTTATATTTTTGCATGGATGCAACCAAATAAAACATATATTTTTTTGGGTAAACGAGGTACTATCGTCGCGTTCATTAGCCAAACATATTGCAAGCATAGAATTTTTACAAGGAGTCTATTAAGTGACTTTACAATCTTAAATATACAAGTAGATGCAAAATTGCTTGTTACGTATGGTGACTTTATGGGTTCAACAGGAGATGACTTCCATTTCACTCATATAAAAGAAACATAAAGTTTGTGGGATTGTGACTTTCTCACTCTAATCACTTTTATTTAATATTCTTTCTTTGTTCTCATTTTTGAATTGATCATAATGGAAACAAATTTGCACTTACCCATATAACTTCTCTACTTGGAAAACAAATCTTCACTTGGTAGAGCTTTTTACAAGGCTACAAGCTGTAGAGAAAGTATAAAATAATAATAATTAAAATATAAAGTACAGGGTGTTCCTAAACATCGTGCTCTTCGAAAAGGGGGTGATTCCTTGGTTTATTTCATGACTAAAAGTTCATATAAACATAGGTCCTTCGTTACTGGTCTACAGGGTATTGAAATTTCAAGATTTTTTTTTGTTTTTTTAGAGACCCTGCAGTTTCTGAGATACTTAGCTCAAATTTGGTATATCATATGAGTTATAGGATGTAATTTGAGTAGGAGGTAGTCACTATCAACATTATTTGTTTAATATAGTACAATATAGTTTAATAATTATTATTTAGGGTTTTTGTATTGTAAAATAAATCATTATTTCTAAAGAAAATTTTTAATGTTTTTCTCGATAACCGTCACAGAAACGAAAAAAGTTTAAAAACAATAAGTTTCTAAACAAAACAGACATTTTATTTTGTATTTTAGAATCTACCAGCGGCTCACAGGAAAAATGTTCGGTGGGAGAAAAGGGGACATGTCTCCTGAAAAAATATCACCCTGTAGATTTCAACAACCATCTGATTCTGACATACCCATTAATGTATGCCCTATAAAGCAATCTAGATTCCAAATTTGAGCTAAATATCTCAAAAACTGCAGGAGCTCTAAAAAAGAAACAAAAAAAATCTTGAAATTTCAACACCCTGTAGATCGTTTATAGTTTATATGAACTTTTAGTAATGAAATAAGCCAATGAATCAGCCCTTTTCGGATGTGCACGATGTTTAGGAACACCTCAACACCCTGTATAATAAATAATAAGTATTATAATCACTTTGATATGAAGAAACCACACTTGAAAGTTGGATATGCAACCATTTTAACACATACAATGTCGTATTATCATAAGCAGTGTTTTGTTAAGGTAATATTTCAGCTCGAATTTCTTGTAAAAGATGGCGATAGTAATGTAAGGATTCCATTGTTAATCCGGTTTCTATAAGATCGAATAGTTTATAAGGTTTATCTATCTTCTGAAAATCCTGTCATATCTAGATTTTTCTATTTCTTCCCTGATTAACTCCATAAGTATTGTTCATAATTACAGTGGAATCAATAAATTTTTAACACGCTAAATGTTCTATTCTTGTGCTAAATTTGCCCCAATTTAAAATAAAACGGGTAAGAAGTAAGAACACACAAATATAATTTCTAGTTACTTAAAAATTATAATTTTATCAAAACCGACGAAGTTATTAACCGATAAATATACAGTTACAACACAGATAAACAACGTTTACTCGTAGTAAATTACAGAAATTACAAATAATAATAACCTTCTACATGTTAATTAAATTGGTATTCAACGATTAATTGCAATTGTTCAACGGCCGAATAAATGGCGTCGCCCAATACGCGAATTAATTCCTATTCGAGTTTGAGTCGATGTAATGTGTGTGTATTGTCGAGGATGTATGTATAAAATGAATTAAAACAAGCAGCTGTTTGCCGATAGCTCGGTTTTTAGTCGGTTAGTTCAGAATTCACAACGATCAACCAGATAGTAGTCCGGATGGGTTAGGCACTGTTGGTTAGTTGGTTTGGTTTGGAAAAACGTGGAGTCGCTTTGTATTATGTATTTGTGGCCTAGTGTGATCGGAACGATGCAAATTTGCTAATTTGAATACCCGATTTGTAAGTATGTACTTATACTTAAACTGAGTTAATAGTTAAATGAAAGCAAAAGGCGAGGAGCCGAGAAAGCACACGCTATTCAAGGTTTGTTTGCTAAACGGTGGAGCAGGTAAAAATTTTTAAACCGGTACGCGCACAAAATCGATCAATACCAATAAGTATTGATGGTATATTAAGATGCAAAGCTATTTTTAAATGGAGAACTTCATTCATTAAGTCGACGAGTAAACACAAACATGCAGCAAATTAATGAGAAGCGTATGCAAATTAATGTGGATCCATGAACAAAATTGAAATTCTGCCAAAAATTTTTATTATTTTATAGTAAAATTCCGTAAACAAATCCAATAAAAACATTAATTTCTCTGATTAAAAATATTTCTAACTAAAATTTTCCTCTTTAGGAACACCTCAAAAAAATCGTTCATAATATTGTCGTGATAAGAATTTAAATAAACTAATGTAATGATTAATTATTTATAGATATTTTTAAATTAAATATTTCAACAGAGACTAGTTATGTTCATATCAAATTTGATGAAAACCAACATGAAAAACCATAATTCACTATAAAATTCTACCATCAAATGATACCTAACTGAATCATTGGTTTCTATAAATAAACTTCAATTATGAATTCATTGTTCAGCGTACGCATATTTATCTTCGTAAGCATTTTATCTAATTTGCAGCAAGAAGATGTGTGCTATATTAGCTTAGTTTATCACACAATACTCCGTTTAATACGAGCACGAGCACTGCATGTTTATTTTTAAGTATGTTACAAAAATGAATAAATTTACGTTTATTATACAATATGACAATTTAAAAACTTGCAATCGCTATATCTCCCAAACAGAAGATGATGCCTAAAACAGTTTCTAGGATATGAAGGAGGAACTAAAATGACATAAAAAAGATTTACCCCATCAACCCCCTAGGCTCCACGTACCCCAACTATAGCAATATAAATAGCAACCCCCAACTTGTGATACATCATTGAAAATAAAAAAATGCTATTCAGTCGTATTTATAATAATTGTACAGGGTGAATCAATAATTGTGAAACATTGTGTATTAATTAGAGAACCAAAGGGACGACCAAATCAATCTAGCTCTAGATGAAGATTTTCTGCACTTCCAACAAGATGCAGCTGCAGTTAGGCACTGGATGGATACTAATTATCCGAACAAATGGATTGGAAGGAGAGGTCCTATTGAGTGGCCACCGAGATTACCAGACTTAACGACAACTGATATTTTTCTATGCGGTTATCTCAAGTCATTAAGTTTTGCTTTTAAGGCAAGATTTCTCAATTTGGTGGTTGGAAGTGCAGCAATTAAATCTTCGTCTAGAGCTAGATAGCCTGGGTCGTCCCTTTGGTACTCTAATTCATGCACAATTACCTAGTGGTTCGATGGTGTTTTCAAACTTCATTAAATTTTGCTTTTAAGGCAAAGTTGTACAATTATTGATTCACCCTGTACAATTATTACTTTATACCATTGGATAGCATTATTATAGGATTTTCAATAATGTACCACAAGTTGAGGGTTGTTATTTAAATTTCTATAGTAGGTGTATGTGTGGGGCGTAGGGAGTTGATGGGGGTGAATTCCTATTTATGTCATTTTAGTTCATATCCTAGAAACAGTTTTATGCATTTTTTGATATCATCTTTCGTTTGGGAGACATATTCGTTGTAAGTTTTTAAATTGTCATACTGTATGTACTTCATAAATAAGTGGTAACATTATGCATTAATTTTCCAGTTTATCGTCCGATCCGAATCGAAAACCATGCAGGAGAACCACGTGATGCCCGCCGCCCCATTAGTGACCATCACCGAAGTAGCGCCCAGCATAGAAAGCCTGCATGAATCCTCCGTGGAAGATGAGAACTTCAAAGACTCCAAGCTGTGCATCGACCACACGTTCCAGCGCAGAGAGTCCATCCTCTCCTCCCAGATCAGCCTTTTCGTCGAGAAGACCAGCCAGAAGATTCCCGACGGCGGATGGGGCTGGCTGGTCGTGCTGGCCTCGTTCGTCATCAACATGCTCTCTGACGGAGTGGGCTTCACCTTCGGCCTGTTATACATCGAGTTCTTGAACGAATTTGGCGCCTCGAAATCCGCCACATCGTGGATAGGCAGCTTGTTCATGTCGCTGCCCTTAATTGCAGGTAAATATATGTAATTTCTACAAGCTATTGAATTTTAACTTGTAACTTTCTAGGTCCAATTGGAAGTGCTTTGGTGGACAGATACGGGTGCAGATCTATGACAATCATAGGTGGTATAATATGCACCGTAGGATTAGCCTCTAGCGCCTTTGCTAGATCCATAGGGGTTATGTATTTAACCTTCGGGGTGATTGGAGGTTTAGGGTTGACTCTATGCTTCGTCACGGCTGTGGTATCTATAGCATTTTGGTTCGAGAAAAAGAGGACAGTAGCACTGGGCCTGGCGGCTAGTGGTACCGGATTCGGTACCGCCGTTTACTCGCCTCTAGCTACTTGGTTTCTATTCGAGTACGGCTGGAGGGGTACTCTGTTGATAACAGCTGGTTTATTTGCTAACATGTGCGTGTGCGGGGCGTTGATGAGGGATCCCGATTGGATCATAGAAGAAGAGTAAGTCATAAGCTAGTACTGTGTGTTGCGGTGCTGATTGATTTGTTGTAGTAACGAGGAAAGGAAGTTGAAGAAGGCGAGGAAGCGGAGAAAATCCAGCGCTTCTTCCATCGACACGGAATGCTTGGAAGAAATAAAACAGACTCTCGAAGGCGGTGGCGACACCAATTATTTATTAGAAGACGTAGACGCAACGCTGGATTTATCAGATAAAGACAGATTCAACTCTGCAGTGGATTTACCCACATTCGTTAGACAAAACGAAGAAGTAACTAGATTCTAATACCAATTTCGATAATCTACTCTTGCTCTTCCAGGTACCGCTGGAAGTGTTGAAACTCTTAAGCGAAAACAAACAACTTTACAGTATTATAGTGGAGAATTACCCGAACATACTATCGTGCAAAAGCTCGTCGGAGCACCAATTAAACGCCACCGGCCCGGACCACCACACGTCGAGGGTACCGGTCCGGTTCTTCATGAAACTGAAGAAATTCGAGGACCAGCCGGAGCCGAAGCACCACAAAAAAGTCAACATTCCGGAAATCGCAATCGATTGCGCCCCCGGCGAGGGGACCCAAATGCTGGCCGAGAAGCCAGAGGCGGTCCCGCAGGTGGCCATCGCGAATCCCCACAAAGGCATCCAGTTGCTCAGAAGTCTCTCGGTGAAGGCGAAAACGCAAATACAGCCGCAATCCTACCTGAAGAACATCAGGTTCAGGAAGAATTCCATCGGTTACAGAGGAGCGATGTTGAACATTCACAAATACAGAATGAAGGCTTCCAGTTGTCCGGACATGTATAAAAATTCGATGGCAACGTTGTTCCGGGAAGAAGAGGTATGTAATAATAATCCACGTACAATCAGCGACAGCTTAAAAGCACCTGGTCGAGCGACGTTCCTTATTCAACGCGCCCTACCAATTGATTTGATTATCCCGCGTCTTGAGAGTGCATTGTAAAGCTGGCAACATTGCTTGCTATGGCCAGTCGAATTCGAAACTCGCGAGGAACTGGTCGGTAAATCTCTCTGTGTCTCTTATCAAAAACTACTCCGACCAGTAATTCCTAGTCAAACTCGACCAATCTATAACATATGTAACTATTTTAATAGTTTTTCAGAACTGGTACGACGAGTTTTTGGATATTTTAAGAGACCTAACAAACTTTTCTCTGTTCTTAAACCTGCATTTCTTGATCCTGTCGATATCCACCGTAATATTGGACATCTGGTTCGTCGTGCCCTATTTTTACTTGGCTGAACACATGAAGAGGAACGGGTACGAGGATTCCGACGCCTCCTTGGCGATTTCCGTTATTGGGATAACCAATACAATCGGAATGGTGAGGTACTGAAACAGTATACGTAAAGCTTTTAGTTTACACGACATTTGCAGGTGCTGTTGGGCATCGTGGGAGACAAACTGAACATTGCGAAGACTTACTCGATTTGTTTAATTCTGTGCGGATTCACCATTGCAGGAATGATATTTTTCACGTCGAATTACTACGTTCTGTTGACCGCCGGCGGGTTTTTCGGATTGTTCTTCGCCAGTTCCATCAGCTTGACCCCGTCGTTGCTGGCGGAATTGGTGTCTTTGGATGACTTCACCATGGCGTACGGGCTCCTGTTGTTGTCCCAAGGAGTCGGAAATCTCGTGGGCCCTCCATTAGCAGGTTTTACAATCATTCGCGCATGTTTATTAATTATTAATTGCCGTTTTTTATAGGTCTTATATTTGATATGACCAATTCCTGGGACCAGTCATTCTACCAAGCTGCTTTTTGGATAGTAATATCAGGACTGCTGGTGGCTGCAATACCTTTTACGAAAAACCGAACTCTCGGTTCCAAATCATGACGCATCGAAAAATTGAAATTGTCTCGCGAATAATTGTACATGTTAATAGATTTTGATAACATTAAATACAAAATTGATTTATTCAAACTCTAACAACGATAAAAACGAGAACTTAGCCTAATCTGTCTAGTAATTTCTGCAGCAAACTGTTTTGTATTTTCATTTGCTTGATAATTTCGTTCTGTTGCTCCATTCTAGTCTCTTCCAATTCTAACGTTTGGGTTTCCCTCTGCGTGGCTCCGGCGAGGTAACTCACGATTTTCATGTTGAGCTCGTTTGACTTGCTCAATATGTCCGAATTGGTTTTGTTATTTTTAACCACGACTTTCCTCAATTGCGTCAGTTCTTCCACCACTTGCGTAAGGCCAAAATTGTCTTGTATTATGTACTCCGTGTCTGGAATGAGATCTTCTGTTGCTGCTTCTACTTTGGGAAGTAGTTTGGCTTCCTTGATGTCTATCGGGTCGCGTTCTTCGCCGAAACTGCAATGATTCGTGAGCGTACGAGCGACATAAGAGTAGAAAGTACCTACCCGGGGGGATCGTTGAGATTAATTTGGTAATCAAAGTCATCTCTTCGTTTACCATAGCGACCTAACTTGTTTGAAACGTAGCTTCGATTGAACATGTTCTCCTGCGGTCTTTTGCTTAGAATCTCCGTAATCTCGCTAAAAGTTAATTATTATTAGGTTATTAACAAATTTGTGTAGTAAACTTACTTTTCGAACGGGCAGGGTCGTTTGTGTCCGTATTTATCCATTTTTTCCATTTTGCTTCTGTAATTTCTTTTGAGGGTTTTCCATTTATTTTCGCATTGGGCACCGGTGTAATAGTAGCCTTTTTTGTTCATATCTTTCGAGACGAGTTCCCATAATTTCTTTTGCGTGCTGATTATTCCTGAATCGAGCATATCGCACTTTTCATCGTAGAGTTTTAAGAGCTCTTTTGTCGCTTCGTGGGTCCATTCAATCCTATGTTCTTCTACAATCAAAGGTATTTCATAAAATTAACAAGTATTCCTGTATAAATACATGATTTTTTAACGATATATTCAAATGTATAATCCACTATTAAACTTCCAAAGGTAAACAAATTTTGACAATAAGATTTGAAAGAACCTTCTTACACCGCTTCAACACCAAACACTTTCGCAAGATGTTTGAACACAAATGGATTCAATTTTGAATGAAACAGAACTCGGAACTCGATCTGAATCCAACCCGGCCAGTGAGGAATTTCTCCCAAATAGCGAAATACGAGACAGAAAAATCGCCTACCTGTTATATAAATGACATTAGACGTAGAACTTTCCAATTCGTCTTCAATAATACTAGCCATAACGAAGAATTATTAATTTTCGGTGATGAAAAATTTGAAATTCTTCAAATCACCAACACTAATGTACACGAGAACTGTAAGAACAGAACACTCCTAAATTGTTCTACAAATACAAATTTAGCCCAAGTGAAAATTACGCACTATCGAACACAAAATGCCAGTTGTCACAACTGTCATGTGTCACGTCATCTGTCACCAAATCACGAAACAAATATTTCTGTGCGTTTTAAATTTTAGTAGTTAGTTGATGTATTTAAATTAGTATCATTTCGCGTTATTTATTTTAATCAAAATACATTTGTAATAAATTACTTAAAATTAGGAAAACGAAGAAACGTACGTTTGCAGCGATCTCTGATGATGGCTATTCGAACGTAATAGTACTTTAAGCAATCTCTAGATGTCGCACCGTGCATCAGGCAACAGGGTAAAAAATTTAATATAAAACTTTCTTGAACAATTTCCAACGTTGAAATAAAACGTGCCAGTAACACTTTCTAAAGGGAATTATACCATTAATTCCCGAGTCTTGTAATAGACAATAAACCTCTGAAACGTTTCCAGCCGCAATCGCATTTGCTGTGAGAGGCATTGAACCTCATCAATTCATCCGCATTTCTGAGCATTATCAATTGAAATCGTGACGACATGCAAAACATACAATTTCGAATTACATATTTTTCTCCTCACTTCATCCACAATCACCGTATTGTATTTAATCTAATTTACCTTGCGGTTTTGCCGCGAACGAGAACTTTTCAAACGTTTATTGAACGAGCACTTTTTTCAGTTTTTCCACACTTTATACCTGGGTTCATTTACAGAATGTATGTCGGTCTTCGTTTATAAATAAAAGCAATAGTAAATTGATTCATGTACATTTGAAAGTAGTGTCTTACCTCTTACCTGAACCCATTTGAACTCATAGTTAGACCACTTTCGGTCTATTTATTGGATTCATAACGTTGCAACTGTTAAATACAAATGAATCAGGGGCAGATTGAATCCTGCACATTTGCAACCATGGGATATTTGCGACACTTTCTACTCTATTCTGAATTGACTCTATATACTCTACTCCGAATCTTCCCTACTCTGAACCTACCCTAATATACGTCTACTAATTTTCTACTCTATACACTATTATATACACTCAAGGGTAGCAAATATCCCACATACAGGTTGCTCCATTTTTGATCGCAACATAGGTTATATAGGCCATGGGTGCGATAAAGACAACTTCCATTAGACACTTACAAAGGAAAAAGAAAGAGTGACATTTGTGTCATTGCAACTTTTCACTCTGACAACTGTTATTTTATTAATCTTTCTTTGTTCCACTCATAGAAATGACCATGTTTCAATTGGAAATGGAGCAAACGATATGTTTCTTTACTGTTCCAAGATCAACACAAACTAGAATACAGGGAATAAGAATAAGTTTGTTTAGAGACCTATTATTGTGTGGAGAAAAAAAAATAAAAAATTATTTATCAATCCGTCTCAGATTTCCTGACGGTCGAACCCCCTTAAAGCCTTAATTCTTCCGCGTTAAATCAAAGACGGAATGATAATTTAAAAAAAAATCACTCAATATTAGGTCAGTAAACAAAGATATTTTGTACAAATTTTCATGAAAAAATCTTCAGCCATTCTGGACCAATATCAAAAAATCTCTTTTTTATTTTCAACTTTAACACGCTATAACTTCTTTGCTACACACTTTGGGTTATAGGTACCTAACTTAGGTTAAATCATCTTATTTTCGTCCCAGAAGTATGAAGTTAATCCATGTCCCAACCTTTTAGAGACACCCTGTATATTTAGCATAGACAATAGATTAATAATATTGACATATCGTGATGTCTTACTTCGTTTGCTGCACTGCAAGTTCCAAATTACAGTGAGTAATTAATCTGAATAGTTTAATGCTCACCTATAAACTAGTAAGTATGGGTACCTCTTGAAAATGAAGAAAAACATCGCTTGTCGGCTCATAATAAGACTAATTAGAAAAAGTGGATCGCAATAAATGCGAATCTTCGTCGATTTCTAATGGAACAAAACTATTTTTATTCGTTGAAGGGTTTACATACAGAAAAGTAGGTTTATTATTAATTAGCAGGTAAGAAGGTGTAATTAGTAAGTAGCATATACAATATTTAAATTGCATGTAGGTACCTATAGGTTTTTGAAAAGTAGGTACTCAAAATATATACTTGTTAGAATACGTTACAATTTTAATTAACTTCCCATAATGTGTAAACATGAATTTTTTAAAAACATATTAACTTATACACGAATTAAATTATAAAAGAGCGTTGATCGTTGTATTAAAACGGTATCGAGTTGTTAAATTCGTTAAATTTGTGCGAAAGTTCCGCCGGACCGAGAAGTGAACATATGCATACATACATACAATATTCGCAATGCGGCATTCGTAATTATATCTTGACCTAGAGAAACTCATTCAACAATAATTTATTCGAATTGTTTGTTTTACTCGCGTACCATTAAAATTTGATCCTCGAGATTAACTTAATGGGTTATTAGGTGCTCCTTCTTCTATACAATAAGACAAAAGAATTAGATATAGGCCTCTGTACTTTTCCTCGCATGTGTTGTGTTGTTTTCTTAAAACGCGTTCCACTTTAAAGGTGACCATTAAAGCCGTCGTTTTCTTTTATTCGCAGACAGTCTAGTTTTTCCACAACATTAATTAGGTACTATCGCCTATTATGTTTAATGGTATAATGATTATTATAATTATTATAGTGTGGTTTAAAATTAAAGAATCCATACCATTTCGCAAAACTTTACTTATGGTTTACATTTCTTCAACACCCTGTATAAACCGACAGAAGCTCTATAAAAAACGCCCTAAATGGACAAACCGCTAAAGCGTTAACCGCGAAAATGTTACAGCAAACATTTGCTTAGTTATTTCATTTGAATTTTTATGGTTACTTAGAGATTAATTAGAGCAATTCCTCGAGTGCTCATTGTGAAATTCACACTGTGAATTATTCGAAACGGAAGCTGTATGATCACTTGATTGATGACAGAACGTTAATGATCGAAATGATTAATTTAATTTATACAAAAAAAATGTTCCAGTGTTGCGTCAAGTAGAATGGGAATTCATCTTAAAGTACGGTTAAAAAGCTTTCATAATAATGATAAATTGATTTAGATATGCTGCATTTTAACACCCTTACGTGTAGGTATAATAAAAATTGCATATTCGATAATGAAACTGATATTATTGATGAATCGTAAAGTGTTTATTTAGTTTCAGTCTAATTATTATTTAAACTATAAACATCCTTAAGGCGAGATTTATTTTCTAGCGAAGATTGGAATGCGTGCATGCTAAAAATCAAGTGCATTTACGTAGTTAATACAAGAATTTATTAATCTGCATAAATTTTAGTCAAATATTTACTGAAATATAAGAAAAACTTACTGTGGCGTGACATCAGGATTTTATTAATAACAGAAGCCAAAATTGGAGTTCTTAATTATGGAATAAAAAAGCTAAATAATCATTTTACTACGATGATATATACCTTTCCCCAAATAATTAGCGAACAATTTCCGGTTGACTTTTATAAGTACCTACGTTATTTTTTTCCGTTGCTCTACATTGTAGATTGCCAATGTCGGTTCTTTCATGTAAAGTATTTTAACGTCCATTTGAAGGTACAGCTTATTATAATCAGGTAATGTTATTAATCATAAAAAAGTGAAACTGCAGTTTATTGGCAATAAAACTTTACGAGCATGTCTTCATTAGACCCGCGCAGGTAACTGTTCAGTCGACGAGCTATTAAATTAATACAAATTAATCGAATGATACAATTACAAGTTAATAAAAAACCCGTTTCGTTTAATCAAGATCAATAGTGAAATATTGCAATAGTAATTCAGATAAGTGAAATTGCAAATGCATCTTGCCTAGTGCAAATTGTTACGCTTGCGCATCTCGCGGTTTTCGATATTCTAATAGATCCGTAAGTGTTTAGAAATTGCATTAAATTTCGTTTCGTTCGAAATAAATCTACATACATATAGCGCATATAATTAATGCGTAGGATATCAAATAAAATTAATTAGTTTAGAAATGTGCCAGAATGCTAATAATTCATACCACTTATTGTTTTTCGTTCGAGTCCTTTTGTACGTCATTAAATCGCCTTCTTACGTTCATTTCGTTCGGTTATTTCTTAATTTGATTAACGATAGTCGATATCGTGTTGTTATAGTCCGCCGTACCGTAATTATACGAAAGAAAATTATCGGTTTAGAGCGGCATTAAAGCTCCGATGTGTAGGCATTGCGCACTTTTTGTACTTTCTACGGGCTCGTGCATATCGAACGCACTCACACACACACACGTGTCTGCGTTCGGTTTCCATCCAAAGCGATTTTCCCGGCGCGACCGGCGATTATTGAGAAAGCTCCGGAAGATCACTTGCGCATCTCTCGAACGCCATTAATTAGCCATCGATTATGCACGGCTCATTAAAACCGTTAAAAAGTCGAAAAAGACGCGATCCATTTCTAATGACTGCGTTTAATTTTTGCCATCGAAGCAAATCAATAAGCAGTGAGGTCAGCGGGTCCTAGTGGACGCGACGCTGGCGCCATTATTCGACTAAATATAACGGATATAAATTATTAGTTATCTGGTTTTTCGTCCTACGGTAATTTGAGAAATTATACGTTGTAATTAGGTGGTTCGGAATCGAAAGTTATGCGATAAAATTTTATGTATTAATTTAGCTGAAATCTGAGGAATTTGAGTATTAAGAGAGTAATGGAAACCCGTGAGGTTGGGTTGCGTAAAATCTGATGAAACACGTATAATACCTACAAAAATTTTCATACTAAAATTGTTCGTAGAATATCATTATGTCTAAAATTAAACAATCATCCCGTACCGCATCGTCTCGTTAACTGGACGCCATTATTATAAATAAATTAGTATCGAATAGCCTCTAGTTATATAATCTTTATTCAATTTAATCCCATTTTATGGTTCAATTTAATAATAAATTAAATTACCCTCGGAAAGCGCCCGTGGATTTTATGTTAAACGACCGCAGCATCTTCGGCTCGTTTTTTTTCAGTTTCACCATTACTAATACTGCCCAGTAATGTTACCTGTTACATTACAAAGAAGACGAGATTAATTACTTTACAACACGATCGTTTTTTCAGCGAGCCGCGAACAAAAAAAAGCGAATATTTATAACTAAATTCAACACTACCCCGGTGAAGATCCACCAATTGATTCCACGCCAATTTCTTCGAAAGCCCCTCCATTGTGGTCGGAATCGGACCAACAAAAGCGGAATGAGTATAAGACGGGAAAGAACGCCATCCGATTGTTCATTTCTTCGCATTGTCCGCGGTCCTCGCTTCCTCTTCGCAGTCCGTCAGCGCGGTTCCGTTATCAGATCGGCGATCGAAGAAGAAGAAGCGCTTTGGCGCCGCAAGTTGAGTGTCGCTGGCGCGGGCACCGGGAGCGAGTGCAAGGCCGATCAAGGCCGTCTCTTCACACGAAAAACGCTGCGGGTATTCACTTCCGACTCTTCTTCTTTTTCTTTGGGCTTGGAAGCGCCCGGGAGAGCGGTGGTTCTTCAGTCGTTCGGGCGGTTTGTTTGAGTACCAACGGAGAGGAGGGCGATTTTCGATTTTATTTTATTTTTTTTTTTTGGGAGAGGAAAGTGCGTTAGGTTTTAATTTCGATAAGGTTAGTGGAGATTTTTTTTTAACTTTTTTTTCGAGATTATATTAAGTATGTTAAATTTCACCGAATTGATTAAAATTCAGTGCGATGTATTTTTTGTTTTTTAAATTAAATTTTCGGTAATGAGTTTTTTATAAAACTGTATAACGATTTTACTTTCCATCTTTTTTTTCTGGATTTTGCGCGACGATTTCGTTAATTTTTTAAAATAAGGCGAAATTGACGGCTTAATTTTCTCAAATCGGCTATTACCCGCAATTATGGAATGTTAGAATGGCACATAAAAAGAAATCGATTTCCGAGTTCGGTTCGCTTCACGAATTAAGCATAATCATTTATTTATAATAATACACTTTGGCCGCGATTTAATCCAATTGCGTTTTGTCGTCGCCAATCTCGCATAAAAACTCCGGTATAAAGTAGGTTCGTCGAATTCACTCGCATATGACACGTACCCAAAAAAACCAGAATATTAATTTACCGCTAATAATACGTTTTTAGAAAATTTTACATACATTTTTTGTGACTATACTACATATTAGAGCGTTTTCACACGGTGTGATATACTGCAGCAATTATGCTTTGCACTTTTTATACAAGCAATGCATACAGTGTATTGCCCATTAGAAGTATCTGGAATAGTCTAGTGGTAATTAAATTTTGAAAATTTGTCTACAAATGTTAGTCGACGCGCTGTATTCAATGAAAATATTTCCTTACTTCTGGTTATACTGGAAGTGGACAGAAACTTTGTTGTTTTAAATGGGACATCCTATATAATAATATATTTTATTATAATATGATAAATTATAATAATAACAAACTTTATTCCAAAAATGCATAATTTTTGTATTATTAATTTTTTTGAAAAAAAATTTATCAAAGCAGACCCTTAATAATATTTTTTACGAGGATATCCTTAAAGATATGGAGGCAGTTTCTTTAGGGTGGCCACTAGCAAGGTCTAAGATATTTGAATCTGTGTTAAACTGTAAATTGTTTGTGAAAAATAGATTATTAATTTTGGTACTTGAGGGATATTACATGGTCAACTTGTAAACACGGATTGTTTAAGAATAAGGAAGATAAGTAAGTTTTACGTAAAATTTTAAAACCTTCAAAACTATTAGGTTTAGTTATAAGGAAGTTAACATGAACTTCTCTTATTTTTTACCGCTGATTTCAATAAAATAGAATAAAATGGGTTGTTGCATTTAAAAAAAATGAAGAAATTTGGTATTTTTCAAGTTCAACTTTTCACATTTTTTATACACACACTGTATGCAGTTAGGAGTTTTTCTTTTACAGAATCCGTTTCCATATCTTTAAAGGGACCCCCGGAAAAAAATAATTTATAAGGGTCTGCATCGGTCAAATATTTAAAAAAAAAAATTATAATAACTCAAAATGTATGCATTTTTGAAAAAAGTGTTTTAGAAAAAAGCACCCGTAAAATTTTACGTAGATTTCGAAAATATATTAATATACAGGGTGTTGCATTTGAAATTAGAAAGTTGATGCCTACTTCCGGTATATTCGGAAGTAAGGAAAAGTTGAAAATATTTTCATTGACTAGAGCGCATCTACTAATATTTGTAGACAAATTTTCAAATTTTAATTACCCCTACTTTTCCAGATACTTCTAATAGGTCATCGTCATGACACACTGTATATCGCACCGTGTGAAGAGGCTCTAACGCTTGTATAAAAAGTACAAAGCAATATTTCAGCAATATATTGCACCGTGTGAAAACACTCTTAAGGTTAAGACTAACGGAAAATTTCAAAAAATAAGTTAGTGCGGCATGTTCCGATGTAAATTTGATTTTTTGAGCCAATTTTAAAGAGGACTAATCAAGTTTTATGGCCAATTAGAATTACACTCCACTATTAGAATGTAGAGTGCTGTTCACTATTTTTTCCTTCTATATTATTGCGAAAAGAAACAGATCATAAAAGAATCATTGACGTACTTTTCATTAAATTTCATCGATATTTTGGATGACTATTTTACTGTATTACGACTGTTATTCACGATTTTTTATAGTTTTTAAACATCCGTTCTTCATTCAATACGTTCCCCTTCGTTTTGCTTGTAATTAACAGTATCAAAATATAGTTTAGCATAACTGAAATTATTCCAGTGCTAATGGGCTGACGATTTCAGATGATTATCAATTCTCCGCGGAACGTGATGGTAGAATAATTCTTGCGCCCGTATTAAACCCCGACCGCAAAAAATCCGTTCGAATATTCTTATTTTTCCGGCTTCCGTACGGCCATGATGGGCAAATCGATTTGCCGCGATACAGGCGAAAAGATTCTTTTGATTTATTCAAATTGAATAGCAATTTGGTCGGGCTCTTACCACCGTTTATGATCTCAATTCAGCTCGGCCTGCCGCGGAATTACGATCGATTTTATTGCGCGTTTTCGCTCGAAACTAAACTATTTCCTGGATACAAATTCTAAATTGCGTTTTCTAAATTAGGTAACGCATCATAAAAAACCACCGAGGTACTCTGTACAGTCCGAGTTTCGCCGCTTTATATTCGAACTAAAGCAGAGATAATGGAAGGCCCGAGTCGAGTTGACGCTAAACATATTCAGGCGTGAAATGCCTGATTAAAACATTAGAGGTTTTTTTCTTCCGGATAATTTAAAATTCCTCCGACGATCCGGTAACGAGTATTTATACGTTCCAACGACCTTGTGTGGAAATTTAGAGTTCGACTTTAATGGAGTGCATTGCGCCTTAGTGATAGATCTCCATATCATATACAGGGCGTAAAGCAAAACACCAAAGGACCTTTGAAACTCCTGTTTACAGTAACGATTAATTTGTACTTACGCCTTCTTAACTAGCTAACAATGTAGGTGGCAAAACAGTATTATAACCTGCCTTTGAAGCAGATAACTGAGGGTGTGAATCATTAATCATCACCATCCGGTCGAAGATCAGCACCAACTAATCAGAATTTTTAACGATGGATCTACGACTTTTTTTTTGTTCGTCTTTCTTGCGATTAACCGTCCGAAACTATCCCTTTAATTTCTTTCTAACTTTTACCGCAATTACGGTTCCATATTCGTTACAATAGCACCGCGACTAAAAAATCCATCGCGATTATTAATGATTTTTTGATGGATGTGCGCGATGTCTACGACCAAATACGGCTGCGGGAGATGATTCAGAAATTAGATTTTTTCGGTTCTTCACGCCGATTGGAATAATAGACGGGATGGGACGGCCAATTAGCAGTTTCTAAACGGATTCTCTTTTTGATTGGAATAATTGGACAGCCTCCTCAAACTGAGATCAATCAATTTCCTCTGTCGTGTTAAGTTGGACTTTTCATTTAAATAATTATAGAAGTACTTGCAATCTTCTACTTAGTGGAAATTTATTTTTGACCAATGTGGATCATATACAGGTTGCTCCATTTTTGATTGCAACATAGGTTATATAGGCAATGGTTGCGATAAAGACAACTTCCATTAGACACTTACAAAGGAAAAAGAAAGAGTGACATTTGTGTCATTGCAACTTTTCACTCTGACAACTGTTATTTTATTAATCTTTCTTTGTTCCACTCATGGAAATGACCATGTTGCAATCGGAAATGGAGCAAACGATATGATCTTTTTCATATCAGATGCTTAAAGGTAACTCTAAGAAATTTCATATTGAAATACACAACGCACCAATTTTCAGTGTATAATATTGTAAAGTATAAAAGTAAATATAAACTACTTTTGTTGTAAACTACCGTGCACCCTAAACCGGTAAACACACGTATAATCCGAATTATCATAATTCGACAAAACGCGAAACTCCACATACTCGTAATACTCCTCGTTGTTCACCCCAAAAGTTTGCAGCTGCTGCTCGAATACGTTGTACATGAATCGCCCCAATTCCTTCGCCGGGCCGGCCGGGCTCTTCAGGCCGGCCACGGCGAAGTCCTTGGGCGCGGAGGAGACCTCGCCCGACGGGGAAACCCGCTCGGATATGTGCTCGAGCGCCACGGCGTCGATCCTGACGCTGCCGATGAGCTGAATAAGGGCGCCGCCCGAGTGGCCCTTGAACGCCCAGCAATGGCCCGGCGTCATGTCGGGCCGCAGCATGGCCTTGGGGCCGTTGGTGCCCTCGCACAGCGTTATGCCGAAGAAGGTTTTGGCGAAATCTACGTTCTCGGTGTGAGGGATTGTAGATATTATACGACCACCTAAAGACTCCATGGCGTAGTCGGTCCTTCCGGTTTTGTCTGCGCTGTATATGGCCAGCTGGTTGTCCACCAGGTCTTTCAAACTCGTTTCCATCGATTCCTGGTTTCGCTTCATGTTCCATAGGGAGGCTTCGAGGCTTAGCAATCTCGTGTCGCTGCCGACGTTGTTGTCTACGTCTTGCTTTATGTATTCAACGCGTTTGCTTAGATTGCGTATGATCTCACCTTGGTGTATGACCAAAAGTATGATGTATAGTGACCCGAGTAAACCGATTCCGTAGCAATATTTCTGCCAATTTGTCGCCGGTCTTCCACTGGAGCATATATCCGAGCATGTTCTTCCAGTACAACTCATCCTGCTTTTTTCCAAACCGGACAGTAAATACTCTGGACTGGATATTTTGCTGCCGCTGAGGTCGACGAATAATTTTTTCAGTTGAAATCCACAATTTGCGGTATGGTTAATTTCATCGTTAGTCACTGGAACGTCCATGTGACGTTTGTGATGGGAATTACGAGGTGGTAAAATCAAACAAAAAAAAATAACCCTATTTAATTTACTTAGAACGTATACTGGAACAGTTAATTTGCAAATATAAAATGGAGTGTAAAAGCTGATGAGGCCGTTAGCGAGTTTATGGCGAAATTAAAAAGGATTCACGTAGTTTAACAAACAATTTATTATTTATTATACGTCGGCAGTTAAAGCGGGGAAGTAATAACGCAAAACTGACTTTATGCACGCATCGGGTATGTATTAATGCAACAATTTAATAAACTGTAATTTCTATTGTTAAAATCATCCGCGAAATACTCACGGTTTATTAAATAATACTTGTAATAAACGCGATGCTGAAGTACCACGGCAAGATTTATGCCTCCATTCTTATACCATTTCACATATGGTCTTATTAATAGGCGAAAGGCCTTTGTGAAAGAAATCGTAATTGTTATTTTACTGCTATGTTCGCCTATCTGGTTATCAGTGGCATCTCATGAGGATGATATTATACTTATTCAATATAATATCTCGACTAATTTTGTTCCTTCCATTTTTTTTAATTTAAATTCTGATTTACGCGCGACTGTTAAATATTCAGTTATTGTGTGCCTGAGTATAACATTTTAAATTCTCCTCTTTGTTTGTACGCTCTCATTTGCTTTCTGAGCTTATTTTTATTGAAAGTAGCCGTTTTCGTTTATTTTTTACCGGCGAAAATTCAACGCCTCTGTACGAGGTGTAATTAGCAAATGGCACAAGTAATTATAAAAGAAAAACTGTATCGCATGTTATGCGTAAACCATTTTATTTGTTTAACAAAACCGCTTGTACTTGGTTAAGTATCATTTTCCGGTCTTTTACTTGTAATTATTGCGGTTTTTTTTGGTTACTTGAACTTTCATAGTTTGTTCGAATTCTATTTTTCTATGTCCTGTCGAGAAGTTTTTAACTAAATCTGATTGCTTCATTCTTGCGATTTTATCCGCATATTATATTTCATATTCCAAAACCTCGTAGTAATTCAATGAACATATGACAAACGTGCAATATTAAGGAAACTAAATATAAATTATCACCTTCTTGTATGAACAGATGACATCAGCATTTTTTTAAATAAATAAAGAATTCTTACCTAATTAAATAAATAAATAGCGTTAATTGTAAATAAAGTCTTGGCCACCGGACAATCCGCAATAAGAAGGTCACTTCTTAAAGTAAATAAGGTAATATTCATTGATGGGAGCATAAAAAACCCCGACTGTAAATGAAAATCGTGAATTAAGTTAATTTAACGGTTTTACAACGCAGGATTTATAAGTTGATTGTTCCAAAAGGTAAACGCATTTCATAGCTCACTGATTTCGGATCTGGGTTAATCAAAAATGTAGGTACATGTACATAAATACATGATTTACTTTAGTCATACCTAACCGAACATGAAATTAAGATTAAACATAAATAAATACACTTTCTACATTTTTTTTTCGTGCAGGCTCATTCAAGATTAACCATGAATGAACCTTCTTGTTTCCTAACGTTTAATTTCCCGCTATTTTTCCACCTACCTTATTACGCTATCATCAACAGGTAAATTACCGGCAATCACCGAAATTAACGTTATTGATAGCCCGGCGCGAAACGTTTTTAATAAAGCCATTTACATGTTAACTCCGCTTTATTATTGTAATCTAATAAATTCCGGGCGACTTTTTCCGAGTTCCTGTTCGAATTTTTACGGACTCCGCTACGGGCAGTTCAATTAGCCTTTATTTATTGTACTCGTTTAATAACATGATAGATAGCGTGGCGAGGCAATAAAGAATAAACCGCGCACGGTGAATACATTAGCCTCTACTCACGTTACAGGCGAGATATGATGGAAAAGGCAACGAATCAAGCGGATAATTGTTGGTGTTGTTGTCACGATGTTTACCTAAATTCTACTTTCGCTTTCTTGTACTCGATGGAGAAATTTTGGGTTTTTTTTAATGTAGGGAATATCTCCGGAATGATTTTGAATATTGTAGAGATTAATTAGTAGATCCTTAAGGTCATTAAAATTTGGTCACCTAGTTGATACAAAAGTCCAGTTCTATGTAATTGATATTTATTATTTTTTGCAGATGAAGTGGATTCTAGGCACGTTCGCAGCTATAACAATAGCCCGAATAATAAACTGCTTCCCGACGCAGCAGGTCCAACGCCAGCCCAAAAACCTGGCTTATTTGGACTACCTGCAGCCCGAAGTGGACTACAACAACCTAGAAATCGACCCGGAAAACTACATGAGCCTAAACCTGGACGAGAACCCGTTGAGCAGGACGGTGCCCCGCAGGAAGCAGCAGTTCAACTCGCCCATTTACTACATCCGCATACCGCCCCAGCCGTACATGTTCGTGCCGGGTTTGGGATACGTGTCCCAACCTGTTACGTCTCCCGTGTCCCAGTTCCTCAACCTGCCGGTGCCTTTCGTGTCGAATGGCAAGCCTAATTCGATCTACCAATGGTCGGGAGCGTTCCAAGGCTTCGACAAGCCCGCGCAGGACTACTCGAAGCCCAAACCGCAGAAGGTTAAGAAGCCTTTGAAGGATTCTACGGTGCACCAGCTGCCTGGAGCGTTTGGATTCAACGGGAAGCCGGAGGATATTTATGTCCTTAGGGACTCTTACAATGCTTTGTATAGTGACGTTTTGCAGAACGTTTACCCTTAATTTTTGTTATTTTTGGTTGGGAATACGTTTGAAATTATCCGCGTATTAAATCGATTTTTTTTGGATATTCGAAGTGATTTATTAAGTTGCAAGTAAAGAATGAATTTCTCCAGAGTTGAGCGAATAAATTCGTGTGAAATTTTTCAGTCCGTTGGATAAATAAACAGAAAATTATTGGTTTTTTTTTATTGAAATTCGACCACCAAATTAAAAATTATCAGTTCGATAGATTTAGGTGCCGTTATAGAAATTATGTGGAAAACGAATTCGCTCAATTAAATTGTAATTCGATATAAATCGGTTTATTCAAAATGTTGATTGATCGGGCCAAAAATTAAACGGAAATAAATTAACTAAATTATGGTAATTTAAGAAATATCAAATGACTTGATATTCACGACAATTTTTAAATTAGCATTATTAAATTAGAAAAGTAGGTTACTCGTGCTTTAAGTTATTTATTATTTTTCGTTTATACTATTACCTACTTTGTAAAATAGGTCTTCAATTTAATGTAAATAATTTGGTTCTAAAAATTATAGTTTAATTTTATTTATGTTGTATTTATTAAAAATAAATATAATCTCTATATTGATTCGTTTTATTACAAGATATCTTTAAAATCCAAATATTCCAGCGCCTTTAATTTAATCTCCCTGTAAAACTATAACAAAAGGAGTGCTGATATTAAAAGTGTGGCAGATAGAACTTCAAATTGTATAATGGAAATTATGATCCACGTCTCGGATTTCTAAATAACAATCCTTTTGTATTAGGTATAATAATAACGATGCCTCGTACCGACCAAGGTGGTCTTAATAGTTCAATTTCGTTCGATTTTTTTACTCGCTGACCCTTTTCGTCCTTCAAGCTCAACTAATTTTTCGCCGCCGTAATAATATACACCCTTTTGTTAAGCTAATGTAAGCACGAGAAAATTATAGAGCCCCGGACACTCATTAGTCCTCAGTCGATGTTGGTGTGTACAGAATAAAAATGTGCGTACCGAACCGACTATTAAGACTTGAATTATTCCTCCTCTTTTTGCTCTTCTAGAGATTTTCTAACGCAAACGGACCTTGAAAGAATTGCTTAAATTCGTTTCTATAACAATTAATTAGAATAAGGAAATGGGAAACTTGGGTAAATAGGAAAACATTGGTTCAGTAATTCCAGTAAGATTCAAATTTGGCTTCAATTGATTTGAATCATTTTTTTATACCCAATATAGAGACTTCAAGCAGTGGTATCTTTACTATTTAATATAATACAAATGGATAATTTTATTAATTCGATAACTGTACATATTTATAGAAAATCCCGAAACGCGTCAAATTTTAATTTTAAATTGACATTCCTCATCTTCAACCCCTTCGAACACCCTTCGAGGGACAGTTACAACCCCTATCTTTTTAAATGGGAAGTATAGGCTTGTGAAAGGCTCGTTTGAAAGGTCTCTTCATTCTCTATCCAAAAATGTCATTGTTTTCCAGTTTATTTCAAAAATTAACATTAAAATTCTTATAAAAGAGGTTTTAAAAAAATTGAAAATTAAGTAGTGGTGCCATCTTTCGTTATAATATTTAAACATATAATGACATTACAGATTGCTGCAACTAAGTCGGTAATACAGGTTACTACAAAACTGTCAAAACAATTAAAACTTCTTTTTAAGCAGTTGTCAAAGCACTGTAAGTATTTTATTTTAAATCCGCTCACATCTTCTAAATTTAATCGAATTTCAACTATATTTTTCGTATTATTAGTTAGTAATAATCGCATTTTCCATTATTCAATATATATTTTAAGTCATACGTGCGATTTTTTGGTAAAACATACAAAACTATTTTTAAGGTTATGTCTTCAATAATATTTCTTTTGATTTTTAGGCCAAAATGGGTAAAATAATGAAATCCGGTAAAGTCGTATTGGTCCTCGGCGGCCGATACGCCGGAAAGAAAGCGGTCGTTATCAAAACCTGCGATGATGGCACGTCTGACAAACAATACGGACACGCTTTAGTCGCTGGTATTGACAGGTATCCCAGGAAAATCCACAAGCGTATGGGTAAAGGCAAAATGCACAAAAGGTCCAAGATTAAGCCTTTCATCAAAGTGAGTATTACATTCAATTACCACCAAAATAATACACTAGCAATCGGTTAACTTTTCGTAATCGATGAAGTTCCTTCGGGTAGAATTCTTATATGTCTCTTTTATGTTGCAGATTTTAAACTACAACCACTTGATGCCTACCAGGTACTCAGTAGATTTAGCCTCTGACTTAAAAGTAACAGCTAAGGACCTGAAAGATCCGATGAAGAGGAAGAAGGCTCGTTTCCAGACCCGTGTGAAATTCGAAGAAAGGTACAAGCAGGGCAAGAACAAGTGGTTCTTCCAGAAATTGCGGTTCTAGACTTTAGTTTTCAATTTTATAAATGCGTTTGTACACATTTTATTTTTAATTCGAAAATAAAACGTGGTGAACTGTTGTCGTTTGTGTTAATACTTCACGAGGAAAAGGTAAATGAAAGAGAGTTTATTCTATAAAATAGTATATAATATGTTGTTTGTTATAGAAAATAAATAGGTACATCTACGTTTATATACGTTATAAAGTTTTAAAAATTTAATCTAATCTTTCGTAATCTCTGGTATAATTTTTGATACTATTTGGTAGACCGTAAAGACCATACATTGAAAAACCTGCAAAAAAAAGTGACGAAAACACAAAACAGTAATATCAAAATGTTAATGTCGCAAATGAGTATAAAGTAAACAAGAAATGAATTGGACTAGACAAACTGTTCGATTTAAAATATGCACGGATTGTTTGATCAATTGAAGGACTATTACTATTTTTATACTATACAGGTAGATGCAAAATTGTTTGCAATAGAAGAAACAAAGACAATTTCCATTACTCTTAATGGAAAAAGTAAGAGTGATATTGAGGCGATGGCAACTGTCTCACTTTAACAACTGTTAATTTATTCTTTCTTTGTTCAACTCAGAATTGCTACAATTTTGCTCGGTTTATACAGGGTATTAATTAATTGAATGCTGATACTTCAGGATATGAATATTTGATTGAATTTAAGAAGAAAAGTTTATATCAATTTAAGTCATAAACCTCTTAGTTTTCGATCTACAGGGTGTTACAGTAAGAAAATATTTTCTAGTTTGTCTAAAAATGTATCACCCTGTAGTTCGAAAACCAAGAGATTAGGACATATATTGATATAAACTTTTCTTCTTAAAATCATCCAAATATTCATAACCTGAAGTATCGGCACTCAATTAATTAACGCCCTGTATTAAATATTACCTCTTAATTTCTCTGTGGTATACATACACTTTTGGTACGAATATTGTCTTTGATAGAAGTAAATTTCAAAATTGCATTCAAAATTACTAGAGCCCTTCAATTAATCATAATAAAAAACGAATATTTGCATCAAAAAATCTACACTGAGAAACGCACCAACATTAAATCAAGCCAACATAAAGGGAAAAAAAACGTTGAAATAATTGAGCAACCCAATAAAATTCGAAAAATTTGGCATGTAATTAAGAGCTCTGCTGCGCGCTATCTTTCCTCCTTATCTCAATAGATTTAAAAATTTCACTCATAGCCTGTCGATGATTCAAGGCGTCATCGTCGCGTGCGAGATGCAAAGATTTAACGATCCTCGACTCCTTCGGCTTTTCCTTCGATTGATCCACGCTCTTCATGCTCCTGAATACGTTCTTCATTCGAATCTGATGCGCCAGATAATCTTCCCCTTCGTTATTCCCTAAACGATCTACCCCGTTTTCCAAATTTCCATCGCTAGTTCCATTAGTTTCCAGTGGATCCGGGTAAGCGATCCTCGAGTTTTCCGATGGCGCTTTCTTGGCAGGCTCCGCAAGGCTCAATCTCGAATCCACGAACAACTCCAATTTCTCCTTAGCATCGTCCTTGTTGATGCTGTCTTCGATTACGTTTTCGTTCTTCTCGTATTTGAGCGTCGAAGGAGCGCTTCCTCTTTCCAGCTGTATTACAGGCGCTATGTAATTGGGCTGCAGGTTCAGCCTGGTCAGTTTGCTGTTGAGGTTCTTCAAGAAGCTTTTGCTGCTCAACGAACTGATTTTGATGTTGTCGTTTCCGGGCTCGAATCCAACCTCTTCTTGCTTGGGCTGCTGGCGCGTCGGTCTCAAAGTGACTTCTTTAATTTTATTCGAGGTGACCCTAGGGAGGGTTTCTCGAGTATTCTTTTTGATTTTAGTAGGAGCGATTACCTCTGAAGGAGGCGGTAATGGAGGTGGTACCGGAATGGAGGTTTCCTCGCGAGTAAGATCCGGAGAAGGTGGAGGCGTAGGTGTCGGCATTATTCCGTTAGAGATTGCTTCTATTATTTTATGATCAGGATCGGAAATTGAAGTAAAAGATAACGGTCTTCTTAACGAACTGAAAGGATTTATCGGTTTATGCTCTGGAGTAAGTATTACGATATCTTCCTCCTGTTGGGTGATGTTATCAGCATCTAAATGATCTCCTTCATTTTGGATATCATTCGGCTCAATTTGATCGACTTGGCAAGCGAAAAGGGGCGCAGGAGAAGCGGGAATAGCGGGCGTAACGACATTATCACAATGCACATCGGCGACAACGTTTTCTTTACACGGTACATCACAAACGGACACGCTACCAATGGACGATTTACGATCGTCCCTTTCGACTTCCTCCAGCATTTCGTCGAATTTTTGCAATTCCTGCTCGATTTCGATGACCTCGGGCTTATCGTCGATCGGCGGCGGTTGCGGGGCCCGCTTCTTCTTCTTCGGAAGCGTCTCCGGATCATCCACGAAACCGTCGTTATCGTAATATTCGTTCGGGATCGCGCCGTTCGCGCTATTCCCGTCGGGTTTATCTACGAGCCGAGCTCGCGCCTCCTCGATAGGTTTTAGAGAGAAATAATAAATGGGGAGGCCTAAAGGAAAGAGTATCAACGCACCTGTGCTTTATGTACAGCATTTTAGATGCCGGAAAATGCGGTTCGATTCGCACGCAAACTAGCTCAGAACAGTATAGTGCGTAGTTTAAAAGCACTTAATCGGTAGTTTGTCGATGGGATAATAATAAATTCATTGAATATTTGAACCTTACCTACGATCATCCAAACTGCGAAACGTACCCACGTGTGGAAGTCGAGCATTAGCATTAGGTAAATGTTCGCTAAAATGCTGAGCGCGGGTATCAGAGGCACCATTGGCACCTACATAGAGTATTTGAGTTAGTATTTTTAGATGGAATTAATCATTGGAAAAACAAGTAGTACTTTAAAATGCAATTCTCTTCTGGACACCGGTTGCGTCGCTATAGACATCAATAGTACGGCGGCGGTGAAAATGAAAAACGACGCTAGCACGATCGCCCAAGTTTCTCCATTGGCTATGGGATGTTTCAAGAAGATGGCGGAAAGTCCTATTAGAACGCACGTAAAACCTACAAGAAAAATATCCAATTGTAAAAAATGCGTATGCATAAGAGAAATGTGAAAAGTTCTCGGCCTGACAACGAAAGATCGCGAGTTGTTCTGTGGCGTTCTGAATGATTCTAGAACGATCTAAATGTTTATGAAGGGTTCTAAATGATTCTAGATCGATCTCAATGTGATCGATCTCAATGTTTCTGAAGGATTCTAAATGATTCTAGAACGAGCTAAATGATTCTAGACAGTTCTAAGTTGTTCTGGGGTGTTCTGAATGATTCTAGAACGATCTAAATGTTTCTGAAGGGTTCTAAACGATTCTAAACAGTTTCTGGATTCAGGAGCATTCTAAATGATTTTAGAACGATCTAAATATTTCTGAAGCGTTTTAAATGATTCTGGGGTTAATTAGTTCTAAACAGTTCTAATTAATTCTTAACCGTTGTTATACTTATACCGTTCCGTACTATAGAGCGTACTAAATGGTTCTGAAGCGTTCTAAATAATTTTAGACAGTTCTAAACAATTCTAATTAATTCTGGAGCGTTCTAAATGGTTCTAGACAGATCTATACGACTATGAAGCGTTTTAAATGGTTCTGAAGCATTCTAAATGGTTTTAGATAGTTTTAAATGATTCTGGATCGTTCTAAACCGCCTACCCTCGAACTTACAATACAAAAAAACTTCCACAGTCACTATAGATTGCGACCTTTTAGTCGGTTCGGAATGTCTACCGCAATTGAAAATTTGTCCCATAATGCTCCTGTTGCCGGATTGCTCATAACTGAGCAATTCGTTTTCTTCATTCGGATTATCCGTATTGTTCACCGCCGTGAAACTTGCTATATCGTCCGTGTATCTACAAAAAAGAAAACACTTAATTCCCCTTCGAATAACACATAAAAAACAATAAAAGCAGCAGGAATATAAGAGTAATAAAGAGTAAAACCCAAGTACATGCATCAAGTTGATTAGACACAAAACATGCAAAATTTGAAATTAACCGAAGAGAGCACGAAGACACAAATCTACATACACTTACGAATCACTGTCTTCAGAATCAGATAGATTCCGAACAGGAATATACACAATTGTCTCCTCATCCATAGAATATCTAATTAAAAATATATTTTTTATAAGCAGGAATTACCAATAGCACGACACGATACATAAATATTAAACGGTAATGTTTGAGTTTAAGTTTACACCCGTAAGAGTACGCAACAGCTTCTGCGCACCTAGTAATTTTGAACGATTTTAAGCGCGCTGTTGCCAAATGCTGATTGTTTACATTCCTCATTTTATCGAGTTTAAGGTTATGTTTTTCTGTCAAGTTGGCTTATTTAAACTTTGGTGTTTGTGTTATATTAGTTTAAATAAAAATAGAGTCTTCTACCTTATTTGGCGCCGTTATGGTTGGATTTACCGCCTTTAAGGTTCGTTTAACCTTCTTTTAGCGCATTTGTAACAGTTGTGAAGTCAACCAGGAAGATACTTCCATTGTGCCCTTGCACGAAATAATAGATCATGCAGGGATTAGGGAAGAAAGAGTTAATCTTTCTGACTAACCCCTAAATGATCCTTTCGATATATCTTATCAAGTGGTTGGTACTTTTCTTTGATTAAAAAAAAACAATTATTACTCGGCAACACCGCGGTCGATACGGTTGCCAAAATAAATGCTTGGTGACGTAGTTGCGCAGAAGGTGTTGCGTACTCTTGCGGGTGTTAAGTAAAACATTACATATTCAACGATTACAAATTAATAATACCTTAATAATAATACGCTAGCAGCTACTATAGTGTAAGCCATCAGAGTACCGATCGACATCATTTTCACCAGTTGTGTCAATTCGAAAAGGGCGGCCATCAGACCTGCGGTACGGAGAATTATTCGAATAAATACAGGGTGTTAATTAATTAAGGTGTCGATAATCCAGGATGTGAATATTTGGTTGATTTTAAGAAGAAAAGTTTGTATCAATTTAAGTCATATGATTTCTTGACTTTTTTCCGTACGACTCATCGTTTCGCATTAAAAAAATAAATGCTTTAATTTCTATGCTACCGCTAATTAATAGTCGCTATGCTAACATTATAAAATAATAAATTTTAGGTTTAGGTTGATATGAAGTTTTTTTCTTAAAACGGGTCCAAGAATCACACCCTTAAATATCGGCATGTCATTATGGAACACCCTGTATATGTCCTAAACCTCTTAGTTTTCGAGCTACAGGGTGTTGCAATTTTAGAGGTACTTCACATCCTGAAGTATCAGCAATCAATTAAATAACACCCTGTGTTAGCAACGCGAAAATCCAGAAAAACCAATCGAAACAGAATCTATAAACTACACTATTCCGGTCGTTCGTACAACCTAAAAGAATCTGTTTTTTTAATACATTCAACGTACCTGTTAATGTTCCTGCTAATAAAGTACCAATCACAGGCGTGTGAAACCTGCTGCTGATTCGTCCCAGGAACTTAAACACCAAACCGTCGGTAGCCATTGCGTAGATTATTCTAGGCAACGGAAACATAGCTCCGAATAAACTAAAATAAAATCGATATTAATAAAGTTTAATAGAGTTCGTATGTTTTAAAATGACAATGACGTAATTTTTAGTAATTTCAGCGCAGTTTGAAATGTCTCTAGTACCAATGGTGATTCCGCCATTTGACTAGGGGAATTTTACGGCGCGCGGTTGAAATGCCGATGCGTTGTTGCCATATCGTTACTCTCGAAATTGCGCTATTTGTATTTGACACGTTTTGACTACAATTTGTTGTTTTTGTGACTTTCCCAGCGATATTTGTCTTTTTATGTAGCGTTGTAAATGTTTATAGACAGTTTTAAATGATTCTGGAGTGTTCTATATGATTCTGGAGCATTCTAAATGATTCTAGACAGTTCAAAAGTATTCTAGACAATTCTAGATGGTTCTTAAGTAAACTAACTGATTTTAGACAGTTTTAAGTGGTTCTGGAATGTTCTAAATGATTCTGGAGCGATCTAAATGATCGTTTTATCGTTTTATTCAATACAAACCTTGCGAACAATCCGAAAATTCCTCCGATTGATACGATCCATTTCGCCCAGTTCCATCCTATGTGTTCGAAAGCATAGGGAATCGGAGCATTAAAATCCTAGAATAAACATCATTTTCATTTATCCTTTAAGAACACCAGTTTCTTATTTGTTATCTACACGAGAATAACATTTATTGCCTCACCTGAAGGAAATAGGGCACCATCAATGTGACCACAGTGGATATACCGAAATACGCCAGGAATATAATCAACAAGGATAATACTATTGAAATGGGTATAGCCTTTTTGGGATTCAACACTTCTTCGGCGGTGGTGGCGATGCAATCGAATCCCACGAAGCCGTAGAAACATGTCGCGGCACCCTTAATGGTCCCTTCGATGCCGAAGGGAAAGAAACCACCCTTGCCCACGACGGTTTCGTTTTTCGTACCGTCAGGTTTGTAGTTCCAATTAGCCGGATCGGCTGGAAATTTACAAATTCTTTATTCGAAATCATTACCATTATCAATGGTAAGGTGAACAGTTCTCGGTCTGACAATGAAAGATCGCGATTTTCAGTTGAAAAATTAAATTATTCTCCTTATTTTGTCGAAATCTTTAGTTCGAGACAGTTCTAAATGATTTTGAAGCGTTCCGAATGAGTCTAGAACGATCTAAATGGTTCTGAAGCGTTCAAAAGCATTGTAATTGATTCTAGAACGATCTAAATGGCCCCAAAACGTTTTAAATTATTCTGAAGCGTTCTAAATGGTTCTGAAGCATTCTAAATGATTCTAGACAGTTCTAAATGATTCAGGAGCATTCTAAATGACTCTGGAGCGTTCTAAATGATTATAAAGCGTTCTAAATGACTCTAGAACGATCTAAATGTTTCTTGAGCGTTCTAAATGATTCTAGATAGTTTTGAATGATTCAGGAGCATTATAAATGATTCTGGAGCGTTCTAAATGATTGCAGACAGTTTCTGGATTCTGGAGCATTCTAAATGATTCAAGAATGTTCTATATGGTTCTGAAGCGTTTTAAATGATAATCGGTCGTTATAAATGGTTCTTAACAGTTTTAATTGATTCTGGAGCCTTCTAAATGATTATGGAGGGTACTAAATGGTTCTGAAGAGTTCTAAATACTTTTAGGCAGTTCTAAATGATTTTGGGGTGTTTTTAATAGTCCTAGGCAGTTCCAAATAATTATGTAGCGTTCTAAATGGTTCTGCGGGAGCATTCTAAATGATTCTAGACAGTTTCTGGATTCTGAAGCTTTTTAAATAATTCAAAAATGTTCTAAATGGTTCTGAATAATTCTAAATGGTTCTGGAACATACTAAATGGTTCTGAAGCATTCTAAAATGATTATGGGGCGTTCTAAATGATTAGGGAGCGTACTAATGGATTTGAAGCGTTCTAAAGGGTTCTAAATAACCATAAAACCGTTCTACATGGTTCTAAATAACCATAAAACCGTTCTACATGGTTCTAAAGCATCTTAGATTGTTTTAGACAGTTCTAAACGATTTTGGCCGAGAAATTGTAACCCTACCGTTGTAGTATGATATCACGGTTATTACCCTTAATAGATCCCGCGATTATAACGAATAATACTACACCGATGTTTAGGGTAGTAAATATGTTATTCGCCAGACTGCTCTCCTTCAAGCCGAACGCCAATGCGACTGAAATGTAGAATAGAAATTTAGTTTTATTTTTGGTTCTTTTTTTTAGATTTTGCGGGTATTTACTCGCTAGGACGATGGAGATGCCGCAGGAGAAGAAATCGAAATATTCAGCCATGTACGGTACATTTATAGGCGCGATTTGCCTGAATGTGTCCTGTAACGTGTTGTTCAGTAGATTGTCTAAATATAAACTTAATCCTTTCGCCACGCTGGCAGATCCTGGAAAACATATCGATAATTAATTCGGCTTCAATATCATGAATATAATGGGCGAAGAAAAAATAATTTATCACTCGTGCAATTCTTTATTAAATTGATTAGCTCTTTTGTAAGGAAAACCCAATTTTTCTATATTTCCTAGGAAACATAACAAGTATTATTTGAATTCGGTTATATCAAACATATTTTTAAAGATAACAAACGATTTTTTCCAAGATTACTATTTTTTACAATGACAGTCAATAATAATAGATGATTAGGATTGAAATAAAGTTAAAAGGAAATATTCGAAAATATAAGGGATTTGAAATTTAATGTGTGCAATATTACGAGATCAATAAAGATAAGAGCTGTAATATATGGGATTATTTATGTTTTTCATTTACGTTTCAGAACTAAAACAGGACTAATACAAATGAATCTAAATGCATAATAAATCACTGTAATAAAAATCTCAAGGTTTGATTTATTACAATACACAAAATAATAAGTTATCTTTGCGATAAGAATTTTCATTATTAGATATTCCTGATATCGGTTCCGAGACAATTAAATTGTTTACAGGGACTTGAGGCATACTGAACTTACCAATGATATATTCTAGGATGAGATTCCATCCTATTATAAATGCTATAAATTCCCCAACGCATACATAGCTGTAAATGTAAGCGGATCCGGCCCTGGGCGCTCGTGCCCCAAATTCTGCATAGCACAGGCCTAGACAAAAAAAATAGGAAAATATATTTATACAGGGTGTTAATTAATTGAGTGCCGATACTTCAGGGTGTGAATATTTGGGTGATTTTAAGAAGAAAAGTTTATATCAATATGTGTCCTAAACCTCTTAGTTTTCGAGCTACAGGGTGTTACAGTTTTAGAAAAAAAATAACTTTTCTTTCATATTTTTCTTACTACTTCAAATATTTTTATCTTCAAACGGTATTTTTCAAACGATTTTATCATGACGATGTTCAAACATATTCAGTTCAAACCCCGTACAGACGTCACTAGTAAAAATTTAAAAAAATCTTTTGCCTCAAAAAATGCTCCTTAATAATAATTAAAAAGTGTGTACAAAATTTTATAAAACTATCTAATAAGTAATAAGAGAATGGTGAAAGAGAAGTCATTTTTTTTCTACAACAGTAACACCATTTAGTTCAAAAACTAAGAGGTTTAGGACATATATTGTTATAAACTTTTCTTCTTAAAATCATCCAAATATTAACATCCTGAAGTATCGGCACACAATTAATTAACATCCTGTATATATTAAGGAAATACATACAATACTCATGTCCCAATGACCTTATAATGAACCCATGTAATCAATTAACAAATTTAATGACACTATACAACATCATTTACATTTCAAGTATATCAAAATTCTTGTGTATGTACATGGCAGAACTTTGAACAAAAATATGTGATTAGGTTATTTATTTACTCAAAATGATGATAGTAATTTTCGTTAGTATTTAGTTAAAAAATCTGACATATAAATGCATTTATAACATAAATACAACGATAAAAGAACAGGATATAGGGTAATATAAATATTGCTAATAATTATCTAATCACAATTATTGTGTAAATTTGAAAAATTTCAACCAAACCAGAAATCTAAATTTATCACACTTCGTTAAATAAACATGAGAAGAGGCACAAATCAATGGAAATTCCATCTTAATTATTAAAACAAGCATTTAGAACTAGACATAAATGTGGCTAAAAATGAGTTAATTAAGTGGTAGGAAAATTTATTATAATAGTTCATTATATTATTATGTCTGGCTATTATCAACGACCATTTAATTATAAAAGAAAATGCAATTAATCATAAATTTATCAACCAGTTTAATGATCAAATTTCTCCCACATACCTTTCTTAACAGAACATTATTTACACTAATGTAGCACAAATAAATTAAAAAAATTAACAATACCTGCAAAAACAGATGCTACGGCGGCTATGAGAAAAGAGAGCACCACAGAGGGCCCAGCTATGGTAGCAACTTGCCCTGCTAGAACATATACGCCCACTCCTAACGTGCTGCCTACGCCCAGCGCAGTCAAATCGAAGGTGTTCAATCTTCTGGCGAGTTGGGTGTCTTCCGCACCAACAGGATCAATTACCTTTTTCCTCGTCAACACTTTCCAAATTCGTTCCATTTTGATTTCGGATCAGTACGATTAATTCTTATCAATCTGCGGGAAGGTATGTCTTACATCATTGTAGCTGGAAACAGTACACAATGAAATTATGTAGATAAAAATTATTTATTAATGAGATAACACCCTATAAAATTACTCATTTCAAGAGGTTAAATTATTTGTGTGAAAATAAAGAACAAAGTAAACAATAGGTATCTTTTGGAGATAATGATGTTATATTCATTTATTGTGTACGTACCGATTAAAATACATTTATAATACAACAGACATAAACCTACAAAAACTACTTTGGTATTTTACGATTTTATATCATATTGAACAGTTCGAAGTGATTAAATTATCAACTTATTGTACTCTTCAAATCAAACTAAACAAAAACACTCAAAAAAACGTGACAGTGACAAATACATTTGACATTTGTTCACGTGACACATACCACCTGTTTTGTCATTGTTCTTTTTTTTACTTTAATATTTTATATCTACTTATCTTTGTTTATCTGTTGATAGCTTGATCAAAAGAAAATGGCTATAATACCGCATACGTACACTTAATATTTTTCTGCATTGATTTGTACTGTATACAAGTAATAAATAATTAAAAATATCATAAATATAACACCACTGAATAGTAATGTGGAATCACATTACGAATAATTAAAAGTACAAGCCTAATTTCAAGTTTTAAAACTCCACGTTTATATTTCTATAACCATTTTATAACCTACTTTACTTGACGTAGAAACTCATCTGTCAAAAATTTCAACAACAATAATACACGTCACTCACATCAATTTTAAAAAGTGAATATTTTTATTGTCTCATATTTAATTAGAAAGAACCAACGCTGGCATCGTTCAAGATGAGAAGGGCCCATGCAGGTAACTACTACGAGCCATTGCCGCAGAATTCAAACGAAATTGAAGACGAAAATGATCGGATGACTAACGAATTGCAAGAGAAAATTGGAGCCCTGAAGTCCCTAACTATTGATATCGGAAATGAAGTTAAATATCAGGATAGAATGCTCAGGGATGTTGACGACGATTTAGAAAAAACTGGAGGGTTCCTAGGAACAACCATGAACAAAGTACTGAGGCTGTCGAAAGGGGGCCACAACTACATCATTGTATATTTGTTTTTATTTTCGATCGTTGTATTTTTTATACTTTACTTTGTTATTAAATTTAGGTAGAAAAAATTATTGGGTTTAGGTATTTATTTATATAATAACGAACTAAGTAGATTCAGTTTTCATTCATTATACATATTTATGTTGGGATCAGTTTAGTCATACTTATTAAGAAAAACGGGCAGAGAAACCTTATATCTCGAGAATTATTTATATTTATACGGTTATAATTCGGATTCAATAAAATTTGATTATTTTTGTTGAATATTCAGTTATTTTATACCTTCTTTTTGATCATATTGTAAGAATTAGCTATTTCAATAAAAGAATGTTGTTACTTATATATATTTATTAGCACACCTAAATTATGAAATTTTTATCTTAAAAAACTCGTGTATGATTCCATGTAACAAAATAATTCTATCAACACTTTAATAATCAAATTAAGAAGTTAATGTGAAAATTTTACTTACTTACATACAATAAACCATATTCTTATAATGATACATGAAAAAAAACATGTTTTTTAAGCATACCCTCCTAATGTTTCACAATTCACTAACTTTGAGCTAATCTACAGATTCAAATTACCGGATTTTTTAAATCCCCTGTCATAGTAATCGGATGGTTTACTTCTGTCTGGAACGTAAGGAAATCCTGGATCGTTAATATTAATTGCTGGTCTGGATGACAATATTTGCATTCCTCCTTTACGTGTCCAGTCATTTGAATTATATTTCACATAATAAGTTAGCCAAAATATTCCACCGATCACTAAACAAAATCTGCCCGCGGAATTTCTCACAGCTGTAGCCGTTTCAAGCCCGAGACGTGGCTCAAGTGCTTTACCTGAAAACAACAAACCCAGTGATCAATTATTATGCACTATAGAGAAATGTATACCTAATTGATCTAAAGGCCACCTGTAGAATCTTCTGATTGGGTTATGAGTAGCTTTGTACATCTCGGGTACGGGTCTCGGCTCGGTCGGAGCCAATTCTTGGTCTTTAAGCCATTGCCTTCGAAAGGCCCTTTCAGCTTCGGTCATCCCAAGCAAACGTTCTCGATCGGACACGAGCCGACCGGCTATCGGCATGGGCTTGACGCCCCCCGTAGGGGAGGCTTTCGACATACTGGAATCTACAAATTAGCAATAATAAATAAAATAAGACGATTAAATTACGTAATTTTAAACTAACTTGGTTTTTGAGGTTATGAAATCAATTACAAGTGACGTTGACAGAAATGACAGAAGACAGGAGTAAATAAAATCCCCTAAATAAATGACAGTTGAAATTGTCAAATATGTGACATTGACGTGTGACATCATGTTTTGTTATTGTAGTTGAGAGGAACTACAAATTTAAAACTAAAAATAGTTATTATTTTACAGTTTTTTTATATTCCAATTGTATTATTTAGAGTTTAATAATACTTGAAGGAGTCGAGTCGAGTGTATAGCGTGACGTTTGCTCTATTGAAAACATGTTAACTACGACTAATTTGCTGAATTCCAGTGTGGAAGATTTATCCACATATTTAATCATACCCTTTAATTCGATAAAAAATTCTGATGATATTACTCAATTTAGACTCCGTCCGGATGGCTCGTTATGTATGGTTAATTCAGATAGCAACTCCGTAAGTTTCCACGTCCATATTACAATTTCCGTTACTTATATTATTATTTGTAGTTTGCATACAAGGAGCAAATTCCAATTACAGAGGAACAGGATTGCAATGTTTTCATCAACCATGGGTACAGTATACTTCAAGCTTTAAATAATTAATACTAATTATACAATTTCCAGCAATCAAAATTCGAACTTGGAGATTCAAATGGAAATGCCTGCACCAACACTTCCAATTCATTGTCCAACTACACAAACTGACATAAAAACTAGTGTACCTGAAATTGGTATGTCTCCGTTAGAACCGCAATATAGCTGTATTAGATGCGATGAAAAATTTTCAACCATTCAAGACTACAAGCAACATCTGAAACAGCACAAATCCCAGAAAAAATATCTCTGCGATATCTGCGGTACTGGCTACAACATAGAAAATAACTTAAAAATCCACAATGCTGCGGTACATTCGGAAGGTACATTAACGACTTGCCCCATTTGCGGTATTAGTTTAAAATGCCAACGAACGGCCGCCTTCAATTCACACCTGAAAATTCATCTGGTTGAGGAACTGCAGCATTGTAACGAATGCGACGCTGAAATCGAAAAAGAGGTTCTTGAATTATTCGCAAGACGTTATTCGATAGTCATTATTATTTATTTTAGGATGAGTATGCTCGACATGTTATATCTCACGCTCTGAGTAAAGCTGATTCCTCCTTAACTTGCTCCTACTGTGATGTTGAATTTAAAACTCCGCAGCAGTTAAAAGTACACGTTTCCAACCACACGAAAGCCTGGAAGTATTTCAAAAGGAAGAAATGCCAAACTGACGCGCCAAAAGAGAAGAAAATGTACAAAAACGTTTGCAAAATTTGCAACAAAAGTTTCGTTAAGAACTCTCTATTAGAAAGGCATGTTCGTGTACACAGTGGAGAGAAACCTTTCAAGGTAGTTAAAAACATACCAGCACGTTATGTATTGAATTAAAATATTTATTTTAAGTGTAATATATGCGAGCAAAGGTTCACGCAGAAAGGATCGCTGCAGATCCATTTGATGAAACATACGGGAACGAAGCCGCACGCTTGTACTTTATGCCCTGCAAAATTCAATCAAAAAGGTACATTTTATTTAATTTACGCCAATACATTGAATTTAACTGGTTTATTTTCGTAGGTAATCTTAGAGTACACATAAATAAAACTCATACTGCTCCAAACGAAGGCCAGAAGATGTTTAAATGTCCTCACTGCTCATGCATATTTAAAAGGATCGCTTCATTGAATGGCCATGTGACTAAAGCTCATGTAAAATATAATGACACTGAAGAAATTATCGGGGATGTTATGAAAAATTTGAAAGACCTAGAAGAACGTTCCGCTGTTTCTTATATTACTCTAATGGAATCGACGCCCGATGGAACGGAGAAGAAAATTACTGTGCAAATGAAGAAAATCGACCAACTCAAGTTCTACAAATGCCTGTATTGCACCAAAATGTTTAAAAAACCTTCGGATTTGCTTAAACACATGAGAGTGCACACGAGGGAAAAACCATTTGAAGTACGCTTAGCAATTAGTGTATTTTTACGTGTTCGATTAACAATGTTATTCTTTTTTTAGTGTAAAATATGCAAGAAAATGTTTGCTCTCAAGTTTAACCTAACTTCCCACATGAAATCGCACAACAATGTTAAAAGTTACAAATGCAATAAATGCGGATTGACATTTTCATCGAAAAAATTACTAAATAATCATAAGTAAGTATTATAGGTGAATCAATTCGTAAATCTAATTGTATAATTGTAGAAATTTCGAAAACGACAAACTTCCAAAATGGCAATGTTCCACTTGTGGCGTATTATTCAACGCCCTCGAAGAAGCTTTGCAGCATAAAATGTCAGAGGATCAACCTCATACAATCCAATCCGTGACGAATATTGTGATAAAACAGCCATTAAACGAAACAGTGCATAGTAATAACACATCACAATTAAAACATTCCAATGCTAGAACTGAAACGTCGAAACCCAGGCCTTTCCAATGCACCAAATGCGACGCCAAATTTACCAGGAATTTAAATTTAAGGAGGCACATGCTGTGCCATGACAGTGAAAAGAGGCTTAGATGCCAGTTTTGCCCAAAGTGAGCATCTATTATACTTACTTTATACAGGGCGTTCAAAAAAATGTCACAAAATGAAATGGGGAACAGTACAGCACAAAATATGCAGAAAAGTCTCACTAAACATGTGTCCGCAAATGGGCCGTTTTGACTGTAGAGCAATAAAAAGGGTGGTCATTTTAAAAGGAAAAATGCCAATATCATGAGATGTATCGACATATAAAATAAACGCTCAGACACGCCAATTTTAGTTTTTAGGGAGACATTTTGTGCCCTAATACTCCCCATTTCATTTTGTGACACTTTTTTTGAACACCCAGTATATACCTACCACATACACGACTTCCATTGTTATTACTTTATAGGACTTTCATCGATTCCTACAAATTAAAGGAGCACGTGAATTTACACTTCAACATGAAAAATTATTCCTGCAAAATATGCAGCAAACGGTTCGTTTCATCGACTAATTTGAGACGTCATATGATCACGCACAGTAACGAGAGACCTAACAGGTGTCCTTATTGTCCCAAACAATTTCAAACGGTAGCTTTGGTCAAACGGCACGTTAAATCCGTTCACAAAACGGAGATGGTAAGTTTTCTATTTATTCCCAATGAAAAATAGTAAACTTTTGATCGTTTTCTTAGAATAATGGAGGTGATTTTTTAAAACAAGAAACATCGGAAAAAGCCTTGAATCAAGACGGAAGTGTGATAATATACAATAGAAATTTAGAAAAACAGGTAATTAAAAGTTTACAAGTACTTAATTCAATTTATTATACAGGGTGTTAATTTTTTGATTGCCGATCCTTCAGGAATATTTGGATGATTTTAATAAGAAAAGATTATATCAATGTATGTCCTAAACCTTTTAGTTTTCGAGCTACAGTGTGTCCCAATAGTGCAGTAAAGCTCATTTACCCAGTTATTAAATTAGATACGAAACAATGGTAAATAGGAAAAATGTTAAGTACCTTTAGGGGCATAATTTAAAATTATTTCGAAATATACAGGGTGACCCATACATCGAAGCCGTACCAAACATACCTTTTTTTAAAGGCTATGATATATTTTTTATTTTATATTCGATTTCAGCTCGTTTTCACGAGTTTCTCAATATAAGATTTCATATGACTATACTGAGTATTTAAAAAGTTATGACTATTTTTATGTTGTCTTGACTTCAAGGCCCTGTATATCAGAATCTGTATTAGATAATGTGAATATTTCTGTGTCAGCACTTTTTAAAAATGGTGTATTTTTACAAAAATCAGTTACATTTCGACAAATTTGGATACAGGGTGAGTCAAAACACAAACTTAATAATTACTCGATTAATTTAAATGAAATTTTTTTAGACAAAAATTAATTTTCTACTTTACCAGTAACGTTCCCGTCCGATATTTCATACAAATATCTAGAGTAACAAGAAAATTATGATAGAAAAGTGATATTTTTTAATTGTAACACCCTGTAGCTCGAAAACAGAGGTTTAAGACATATATTGACATATACTTTTCTTCTTAAAATCATCCAAATATTCACATCCTAAAGTATCAGCATTCAATTAATTAACACCCTGTATAAACCGAGCAAAATTGTGTGAAATATGGTTTATATGACCAATTCTATGAGTTGAACAAAGAAAGATTAATAAATTAACAGTTGTTAGAGTGAATATTCCCATCCTGAAGTATCAGCACTCAAGTAATTTACACCCTGTATTAATACATTTAATTCGTTTCAGCCAATAGACAACCAAACTCTCTTAGTGGATAAAATGGAGGAATTTGAACAACATTCAGACGCAGTATTACAAAATCCCGACGCACCTTTACAAACGTTTTACGTAAATTTAGAAGATTTGCAGCTTGTGGGCAACAATAGCATAAATCTATCTACCTTGGTCGAAAATGTAACCAAATTTTACAAATTTACGTTCGCAACTCATCTCATTAATTATTCTTTTAGACAAACGAAACGAATCCTAACGAATCCGAACCACCCCACATGCAGAATCCATTAAATTTAATTGCACCCGAAGCAGTTTACGACGATACGATAATAACATCAGCAGAAATGAACGAAACGCGCAACATATTCGAAGGCGCCAGCGTTATTTGCTTGAATTGTAACAAGATGTTCACCAGTTTCGTTCACTTTCAAAAACACGATTGTAATGTACATAAGGAACAACACAACGAATTGCCTGGGACTACAATTACTGAAAATAATGAGGTTAATACTGAACAACAAATTGTAGAAAAAGAAAATTCGGATTCTAAACGGATAGTTTGTAATATCTGTAAGAAGGCATTCAAGAGGAAAATTCTCTACAACAGGCACATGAAGAGGCATTCCACAATGCGCTGCTTGAAATGCAAGCAGATCTTTTCCAATCGAAACGCTTATTTGGAGCATACGGCCGTTCACAAAAACTCCTCAGTCGCCACTCCTTTGGATTGCGAGTACTGTTGGAAGCGGTTCAAAAAGGCCTCTGACTTGGTGAGTAATCGAGCAAATTAAATTGACAATGGAGAGGAGTAAGATGTGAGATATACGGTTTTTAACCGGATATATGAATAGAAATAAGTCATTAGAACTATAAGCAGTTTTTAGTTGCTGAAAATATTCAATATTTTAGAAATTATAGTCCTTTTAAATTTAAAATTTTGACTGTGACGTGTAAAGTCATTAACCAATCACAAAACGAACGAGTTACATTGTATTAATAGTGTCATAAGAATTCGAACGAAATGTTCGGAAGAATAGAAGATACGAACCTTCGGATGCGACATTTTAAAATTGTATAAGTTGATTTAGTTAAGGAGGTTATGTTTTTGTTTTTATTAATTCGACAGGCAACAGGATTAAAAAGTCAAATGTATTCAATGTTGCCACGTTACCATTTTTACTAAACAATAATTTAGAATTTAAGATATTTACAGTAATTCGTAAATATAGGTATATTATATTATTTAACAATTATAAGTTCGCTATATATTTTTCAAATAAATCATAATTATATCGTTTGCTCCATTTCCGATTGCAACATGGTCATTTCTATGAGTGGAACAAAGAAAGATTAATAAAATAACAGTTGTCAGAGTGAAAAGTTGCAATGGCACAAATGTCATTATTTCCTTTTCCTTTATAAGTGTCTAATGGAAGTTGTCTTTATCGCACCTATGGCCTGTATAACCTATGTTGCGATCAAAAATGGAGCAACCTGTGTATCAAGAAATAGAAAAAATAAATTATAGCACAGACATATAAACAAACAGCTTTTTTTCAGAGTAAGAAGATATTTGACAACGTCGCTAAAAACGATCTTTACCACCAAATTCTTAATGTGATTGGTTAATGACTTGTGACGTATTTCAAACTTTAAAAATTAATTGTGGCTTTAATAGGAAACAGAAAATTAAAAATTTCACCAATGACTTCATAAGAATACGTAGTTTAAAAAAATAAAAAAAAGTCGTATTCCTCTCCATTTTATTTATTTATTTATTGTCTGTTTTAGAAGCGCCACATTCGCACGCACACCGGAGAAAAACCGTTTAACTGCGACATTTGCAACAGAACGTTTTCCCTTAAATCCACCCTACAAACCCACATCAGAACCCACGATCCTAATCACAAGCAATTCGGTTGTGATATTTGCAATACTTTCTTCTCGTCTAAAAGTAGCTTAAAGGTTCACATGACTATCCATACAGGTAAGGCGAAACGTACAGTCGGTGCAAAACAAATATCGATGCACGTCACCTATGATTTACTACGTCACAAGTAGGCAGTGTTGTCGAACTTTTATAGAGTTTACAAAATCTACGAATTTTCTAAAATTTTCAAATGACAAAATGATAAGAACAAATTGAAAATTATGGGTACCTGTTTCACGTTTCTAAACGGCAGACGTATTTAGGGCTCAGTAAAAAAATTAGTGAACAATTGACCTAGAAAAAGAAAGAAAAAAATGCCGTTGTCGGATGATAACGGCAACTATGCAACTAGAAAGTCAGTGCCTACCAACCTACTTTAAGAAAATAATAATAATTTTATATGCAAACGTTTAATTTTGACAATATATATTTTTTTGGATGATTTAATTCTGCTTTTTAACCTTTTATATCATCCCTTGTTAATATTAAATTAAATTCTGCAGGTATTAAGCTTATTCTATTTTGTGTATTTATTTTCAAAAGTTGGTTACAATGCTTGGCAATATTTTGGGGATATTTGTTTTGCACCGACTATTTAAGTATTTATTTATAGTATTTAATGTATTTGTACAATTATAGGTCAGAAACCGTACTCTTGCTCAGTGTGTAAAGCCGAATTCCGGACGCTCGGCGCTAAAAGAACCCACGAAAACGCCGGCCATCGCAGACCGACGAAGAAAAAATCGAAGAAAACCGCCGGAAACAACTTCAACGACATACTACAAACGCTCTCCTCCGAAATCATCATGGACAAAACCGACGAGGAGGTCGCCAAAGAGCCGGATTACGCGCCCATCGACACCATGAATTTAGTGCTACCGCAAAACATACCCGCCCAAAACCCCGCCATGGACTTGCCATCGCAATTCGCCAACTTGGACATACCCGCCGAGGCGATTCTATCGACCATTCCCGAGGTGCAGCTGCCCGAGGACCCGGCCAATTTGCTCCGGCAACTCCAAATGAGCGACATGGTGCTGGCTCCGAACGAAAACGAAGTGGTACCTTCTCTGATACTGGACGACGTCAGTTTCTTGGATCTGGAAACGGCCGCCGACAATCTGCAAATCATATCGTTGCCCGAAATCGACGGGAGGGTTACCATCAGCATAAAAGACGCCGAGAACCCGCCGAAATCGGATAAACCGGTTAAAAAGAACCAACCCGTCGATTGTGATATATGCCACAAAACTTACGCTTCTAAAGACGGCTTGAGGAAGCACAAGAAGAACGTGCATAGAGAGAAGAAGAAGTTACCCTGTGACGAATGCGATGAGAAATTCGACAATAACGAGCAGCTGCAGCAGCACAAGAAGGACCACGAGAGTTTCATCCGGGATAAGAGTCTGTTGAATCACCACGATATATCGAAAGAACAAACAAGTGCCTTGTTGAATCTGAAGCTAGACCTACCTTCATCAGCAATAGACGAATCCTTCTTAACAATCTATTAAAACTTGAAACCCGCGTTATTTTGTAGTGAATTTTTTTATTAAACTGTTAATAATTGCAATAAACATCAAATGAAACGAAAACGGCCGATCGGAAAATCGACGTTTCGACTTCTAGTGTCAAATGAGTGAAATAATTTTTTTTCGGTTTTTCGCACTCTTCTTAAATCGAGTAATATTGTTTTGCTTTAAAATTTTCCCAAGTATTCTCTACCCATTTCTCCAACATTTGTATATAGTCGTTTCCCATGAAACATTAGTATTCGGAAAATTTTAAGAAAAGTAGTTTTCACGGGGTTTTTCACTCGAAATATCTCTTAAACCATAAGATTTAGGAACATTTTTCATGTTTTCAAAATAATAGAAAATACTTTTGTCGAAACATACCGGGTGGTTTTCGAATCAGTACTTTTTGGGTTTTTTAGAAAAAACCCATTTTAAATTGTCTTCAAGTGTGCATCGCCAAAACTTTGAAAGCGAAAATTTTTTAAAATATTATTTATCGAATTCTAAAGATTTTTCGAAATCGATGCATATTTTACGGCTTCCTTCGAACCGGAAGTGAAAACTTTCAGATCGACGATGACGTACGATCATTCCCGAATGAAAAACGAAGTAAATGACATTTGAGTTTCTATGGATACGTTGACATTTAATTTGCTATTCAGAGTGTTTTATCATTAAGGAAATCGGAAAAATTGAAAGTGAAGTGAAAAATTATTTTTAATTAAATTGAAATATAATACAGGGTGCCTCTTGTTTAAGAAAATGTTAATTACATAAACCGAGCGAGCGAAGCCGGCGAGGATGTGATTATACAGTGCATTTCTTTAATGTCCGTGATATTAATTTGTTTGTATTCAGGTAATTAATAAATGTCCGCCATTTTGTAGCAGGTGCAGATATTGACTTTATATTCCAGGGTTATAGAGTATTTGTCAAGAGCTTCAAAATGATGTATCACAAGACCCCCCTTTCCATTTAAATTTATTTCCCAAGATGGCGCCCAGTCGCCATCTTGAAATTTTCATCTGTCAATTTTACTCCAAAATATAGTAATCATGCATTAGTTTCATTATCCCAAATTTCAATTTTCTAAGTTGATCCGTTCAAAAAATAAAAGGGGGGCACCTTAAAGAAATGCACTGTATAACTGTCTTTGCGTAGGAGACCGTGAGGTTAGGCGTGATTTAGTCGAGCTCGAGCAGCGTGCGAGACCTTGGTTATTTAATTGCTTCTGTGTAAGAGCTGTCTGCTTCTTCGAGCTGCCGTATTATGCGACAGAGCCCATTATTGCAATTACCAACAAACTCGAGCTCGCGCAGCGAGCGAGAATCGGATAAGGAGGAAGGGCGGAGCCCCTCCCGAGCTTTCAGCGTGTCTCATTATAGGCACTTATGTATGATAAACCCCCCCCCGGTCAAAGTTCGAGTGAAGGCAATTAAAACCGTTCGAAATTTCGACCGAGAAAATTCACGAGCACCGCGAGCCGTATTCGTTTTGTTCCCGTCGAATAAATAAAACCGACTCCAAGGAGTTATAAAAGTAGAAGAGCCCCGGCTCCCGGGCGATGCAATTAAAGCTGCTTATCTGCATAAAGAGACACAGCAGCGAGCGAGATTGACGACCTCTTTGTGCGGGCTGCTCCGCTCCCGAGAAAAGGCCACGGTGTTTATTTTTTTATTTCCAGCCACTTGGGTCGCCTTCTATTGCTAAATTATCGATTTGTTTAATTCCTAAATTGTTCCTAGTTGTCTCGTAACACGTGGAAAATATTTTGAAGCATGTTTCGGAATTATTGTGTATCTGTGTATACAGTGCTTTTCAAGGAAACCGTCCATTAGAACTTATAGGAGTTCCCGAATAGTTACAAATCTGAAAAAAGTCCTGAAACAGGACTAAAGGATAATGAAATGTTGTGAGTTTTTCTAAAATATTTTCAACCATATGTGACTTCAGATTATACCAGAAGTAGATGTCAACTTCTTTATTTCAAATGGAAAGTACCATTTTTGTCTTCATTTTTGGATTCTGTGGCTCTTTTTAACGAGACTTTTATAATAGGATCATATGCCAAAAATGCGTGGAAAAACGGTCAAATGCATTTTCTATGATTAAACTCTGGTAATAATGCACCTAGAAATTTAGTATCGATAATGTCCAGACACAGTACTAAATGAAACTAAACTGAGCTTTTATGGTCTGTGTACAGGGCGTTAAAAATTGTCTGACTAACTTGGCTAACTTAAAGTGGCTATAACTTTGTTATTTCAAATGGACCACCCTGTATATTTAGACATTGGATTATGGAGATTTTTAAGCCCTTTCGATCTATGTGGGTATTCTCTATACCCAAATTCAATGGTTTTTAAAATAATACATACAGATAAGTGCAAATTTGTACGCAGTACTGTCTGTGAGTGCATCAAAGACAAGTTCCATTAGTCTCATGCAAAGAAAAAAGAAAGAGTGATATTGTGGGATTGCAATTTTCTCACTCCAACCACTGTTATTTTAATCATCTTTTTTTGTTCAACTCATAGAATTGACCATATTGCAAACAAATTTGCTCTTTTGTATTGTCACGAGTAGGAATATGGGTCAATCCTGAGAGTGCAATAAAACGAGACCACAACAATGCAAACATTGGCCGAATTATTATAAACAAACATTGTTGAATATTGTTTATAATAACACCACGCGCGAGGTCCGCACGCGAAGAAACATTCCGAAGTCCTCGCGCGTGGTCAGCAATATGATTCACATAAATACTCTCAGGTGCGATCCAACGGGGCGGTCTGGGTAGACTTGGGGAGTGAACAAGGTGGGTTGACATGTTCGTGGGTTGTTAGACCCTTGGCCCCCTTCTCGTCGAGCCACCCAGTGTAGTTTTGGTAGTAAACATTGTAACAATCGTTTGAGCTAAGAATAAAATGTGGTTTTCAAATTCTGGTCTATCACTATTACTGTAACCAACCCGTACCCAGGCCCCAGAGCAACGAAACCCCCCGAAGAAGAAAGGTTAACGGTTTTTTTGGCGTGACATGGTGGAGGCGCCCTGCTTCGTTCCTGGGGGGTGATTCACCATAATCATACCCGGGTGGTTACAGTAAGATAGACAAAGAAAATATTAAAAAATGGAAGAGGAATACGACAGTGGTATCGAGGAAGACAGTACCGACCTAGACGGGAAAGGGTCACACGAAGAGACCGTAAGATTTGGCCGTATTATGTGCGCAACACAGGTGTTCATACAAGTAGGACGTAGACACCTGTGCTACAGCTGTGCCATGGGCGAGGTAGATCTGGACATTGGGGAGTATGACCATTACAACAACCACTTCTCGGGGTCGTACGAAACAGTATTCGATCACTGCATTACGTGCGACGGATGTGGGGTACGGTTATACACGGTCTGCTTCATAAACTCGTGTATAGTGTGCACAAATAAGCCGTAAAGATGCCGTGTTGTGTGTGGGATTCTGCAAGGTCGGACCAAAAGTACCACTGTGGAGTTGGACGTTGTGCGGAAAACGACAAAGTGTCGAGTGCGAGGGAACGCGAGTCGGGTGTGGTGTTCAAGAAGAATGGGAAGCAAGGAGGCTCGGAAGATGACGGGAAAAGAGGACGTCGCCTCACTGCGGTCTCAGCCAGTCGGGACAAGATAGGCGCAGGCGCAGGGAAGAAAGTCCTACTGGTCCTCGGGAGCCGACGCATGGAGCTACACGGGAAAGCCCACACCAAGGGAGAGGAAATTAAGCTAAGTGAATAGATATAAGGATAGCATTAAGACTTCGAAGTTGTAGGTGATAGGAATTAGGGTAGAAATAAAATAAAAGGGGTAAATAGGTAATAGTTAGGTAAAACAAATAGGGTGTTAATCAATAAGAAAGAATAGGAGCTAACTGATATACCATTGGGGTAGGGGGAAGATAGAAATCAGGACAACGATATTTTTTTTTGCGATAAGAATACTTATACCTGCTAGGAAAGACTAAGTAAAAGACCTAAATAAAAATAATTGGTAGGAATATTTGCGCAATCATGAAGAATTTGCGAAATTACGGGGAATTTTAGGAGAATTTATGAGATTAGTGATAAAATGGAAAAGAGAGCGAGCTATGTTTAAAGAATAGCTATATTTAAAGGGAGAGGAGAATCTGGAAGAAGGTACCAAGGGGTGCTGAAGATTCGCCTTCCCAGTTTGAATTTTTTTACGTTGATGTTAAACGAGAATCTGGTGTCCCTTGAGACGCGATAGTGAGAGGCGATACGAAGAATATGAGTATATATGGTAATTTATGAGAAGCGATTTTAAGTGTATATTTATGAAGTCACGTCAGGGGAGGAAAATTTGGAAGAAGACGCCAGGAATGCGTTGAAAATTTGCCTTACCAGGATGACGTGGAGAAGGAATCTAGTAAAGTGAACAAGGGGTTCACGCTGAGGGAGGGAAATTTGGAAGAGGACACCCTGAGAGTGTTGAAAATTTCCCTTACCCAAATTTTGAGTAAATGCTGCGAGCTATTACAAAGATAGATAATGAATTTATAGATGAAATGAGGATAAATAGGTAAATTGAGATTTTTTTTTTGTGCAGTTGCGCGTAGAGCCAAAAAGCAGGTATAAGGGATATTGTGGGTTAGGTACATTAGGCGATACATAAAATTTACCCCTGTCCCCAATGGTAGAATCATAGAAATAAGATAGGAAAAATGTAGCCGAATACCGGCATAGATATAGAGATATTTTTAAGTGATTATTTGCTCGATTATTTTTTTTTCTGATTCAATGTTGGAATCAATTTTTTATTTGATTTTTGGTCAAATTTTTTTTTAACTTTACTTGTGATGGAATTACCAATATCGAATTTGTAGCTTAATATGTGAGGTTGACTTGTATAGATTTAATTTTGAACCAATATATATATGTATATACCTGTATTTACCTATTATTTAATAATCATTGTATAATGTATAATATCCCTAAGGAACTAAAAAACCGAAGGGTGTTTGTTAAAACCGGGGGCCGGTTTTGACGAGGAAGGGGCATGTCACGAGTAGGAATATGGGTCAATCCTGAGAGTGCAATAAAACGAGACCACAACAATGCAAACATTGGCCGAATTATTATAAACAAACATTGTTGAATATTGTTTATAATAACACCACGCGCGAGGTCCGCACGCGAAGAAACATTCCGAAGTCCTCGCGCGTGGTCAGCAATATGATTCACATAAATACTCTCAGGTGCGATCCAACGGGGCGGTCTGGGTAGACTTGGGGAGTGAACAAGGTGGGTTGACATGTTCGTGGGTTGTTAGACCCTTGGCCCCCTTCTCGTCGAGCCACCCAGTGTAGTTTTGGTAGTAAACATTGTAACAATCGTTTGAGCTAAGAATAAAATGTGGTTTTCGAATTCTGGTCTATCA